AAGGACCCATCGGATCCTTACTTTTCTTTGTTGAAGTAATATGGAGATTTTGCATCCAGAGTACCTTTTACGAGGCTTTGGTGCCTGAACTGTCGACTGACGGAGGGAGTACTCTGAAACGTATGCTAGTCTTTCCTCCCCTTGAGTAGCCATCGACTGGGCGGATTGCACTCTTTTCGATGAACTTGCTTCGATCTTGAACGTGATAGGGTATGGATAGTGGCAAATTGCGTGAAAATTCTTTTACAAAAAATCAGTTTTAAATCATTTTATAAATTAAATAAACCTAACTTTTCCTTCACAGTACTTGTTCATTGTCGATAATTAATTTTTTACAGGTTTTCAGGGTTGGATCTTCTCTTTCACGATGCGTACCGTAGGTACAGTCACATCAAACACGTTGACCACTGTACCTAAAGTACAGCTAAAGGCAACAATACACACCTTTGTGTAATCCCGTTGGGCCGGCCTGTTTCCACTTAGTGGTTTTGCTCTATCTTCTGCATCGTAGTCTGTACAACACTAAGTTATTCAGAATCACCAGCCAACGCAGCTCCACACTTAACGCACCACTTCCTGTGCGCACCACCGTGGTTGCAATCTGAATTAGCTGCTTCACATCATTGGATCTGATTGTACTAACAATAAGCTATCAAAGCAGCGGCAAAATTTCCATGGCACCTTAGATTTTACGTCTGGCCTTGCACGAGATGAACGGCAGGCTGCCGTCCACCAGCGATTCGACATCATTGCAACCAATTTCATTAGTCAGCGCCATGTGGTATAGCGGGAATAGGCTGCTTTGGCTGGCGAATAGTAGCGTCTCAAGCTGCGCAGAGAGATGAAGCAGACGCTGCGCATTAAAGTGAAGCAGACGTTGCGCGCTCAGGCAAAAATTCTGTACTTGCGGTTGACTTCGACTCGTCAGGGTCGTTTAAATGCGGTTTAAATGCCGATCCAACTGCTTTAAATCATGGCGGTAGTTACGACGGAAGAAATACTTGAATGCTGCCTGACGTTTTGACGCCAAGCGCTTAATCAAAATAACAAAATTAGCTTCACTAGTAAGGGACGACTTGGGTACTGAACGATTTAAGAAGAACGTGAGAATGAAAGCCATGACTACGTGTCGTTACATCAGCTCCTTTGTTTCCTCAATAAACGTGTCAAACTCTTTCGACACCGAAGCTTTAATTGCGGTTGTAGTAGGATACGGGGGTGAAAACAAAATGACACCAGCTGACGACATTGTAAGCCCAGCCACATGAGCTGGAGGATGATGTGGTGCGGGGACACCCGTGGCCTTGCTACGGCTGGTAACGTTGGAGCTCGGAGTGGCAAATGCTTGACGCTGTTTACGAAGAGCAACAGGAACAAGCGAGCGGAGTTGCGATCGACTTTTATCATGCTTAGCACGATTTTCATCCGTTTCTTGCTCTCCTTCCATGCGGGAGTCGTAAACGTCAAGCCGGTCCGTTGTTGGACAAAAAGCAACAACGCCATCTTTGTTCATATGGACCTCAGCTTGATTACACTTTGTTTCCCGTTCATGTACAGCTATGGTCATTTCTGGATGAGAAGGAGGCGGTGGAAACATCCCACACGGCTGTCGCAGAGGTGAAGACATTATTGAACCAGCAATTTGATCATCTACAGGTGGTGGAGGAGGCGGTCGTGCTAGAATTGCTCCAATCGGTAGTGGTGGCCTAGAAGCCACCTGAATCGTTCCCGGCGGCGAAGGTCCTTGAGGCAATGGTGGCCGCTTCCCAGGCCGGTTCGCCATTATACGCGGTTGCATCGATGCAGGTGAAGATCGTCCATCGGCTCTCGAAAGTCGCGTTTGGTCTTGAAATCTGTGCTGTTGTGAACGTCCCTGTCTCGGATGTCCGCGAGCTACACCTGTATCTAGACCCACCGGTTTGGGCGGAGTATTGCGGTACCTCTGCGGCATTCCTGGAGGTGGCGCTCCAAACGGATTTAATGTCGGGTGGTAGTAGATAGAGTTCTGCAACATTAACATTGTCAGTGCCTGCAGCTTCAGCCACAATATACTTCACTTCCTCTTACTACCTCTGGGTTTTGATATTTGTCCTTGTTCCCCTCCGTCAACTCCGTCATACTCTAAGAAACAGCAGCAATATGAGTATGAATGAACTTTTTACCTGTAGATAATTGAACCAGCTTCACCATTGGTCGCGGGGGCAGGACGTCCGTCAGCTTCTGCTGTTTTACCTCCATTATCTACAGCATCATTGCCACTGTGTCAGTCTTTTTTCATGTAAGGATTGACTGTAGCCACTTTTTTTTACCTTTTTCTGCCTTTTAACCGCTGCTCGCAGCGTGTCTTCTAGCTCTTGTTTACGCTTGCGCGAAGGTCCGTCCGTTGGATTGGCTGCTACTTGGCGCTTGAGATTTTTAAGCTGCTCTTTGATTTCCGCCAGATTCATCGAGCCAAGCTTGGTTTCTTTGTCTTTCTTTCGCTCTATTCGATGCTTTTTTAGCTCTTTTTTCTTCTGTTCGCGGCGATACGCCTCCATTGGGTTCATTGACTTGGTCATACTTCTTTATCTACAGTTGTTTGGGGATTCAATTGGCCAGTGAGTATATATTAACTTATCAACATGATAATGTAGCCATTTAATTCAGTTATACGTATATTATTTGATAAGGTCAACATTATTTGATAAGGTCAACATTATTTGATAAGGTCAACATTATTTGATAAGGTCAACATTATTTGATAAGGTCAACATTATTTGATAAGGTCAACAATGTCCTCCTACTTGCAGAATTAGCATCGTCAATCACTTTCTCTGACTATTTGTGCGCTACGCAGTGTCATGACCGAGCATAAATGGTGACTTGCAATCCAATGAGCAAAAATCTGCGTACTTTCGACTCATACGCAAAGGCGAAAACCTGCGCTCGCACATTCGACAGATTTCCACCTGCTGGCCGAGACACTGAAGTCTCCTTTACTCAAACTATTTTTCCACTGCTCATGATGCACTACTGAAGGCGTCCGCGCGTAGGGGGTTGCATTGCGTGGAAGAACCTGTGAAGCATCTGCTGTCGCCAGCCAGCGCAATTGGTCGTAGTTCCGTGGTCTCCATACGTGACCGCTTTTTGGACCGCAATCTCTGCAGCGATAACTTGGACGCTACCCACCGCGTTTTCTGTTGCAATACAATTTTGATGTTGAGGCCCATAGCTATGTCTTGTGGTTTGTGTGGTTTGGGAGAAATTGCAATGTTTACAGTGCACAGCCACTTGAGATCTCAAGTGATGCGTCTCAGTCACGTGGAGATTGGCGCACACGATCACCGTAGAGTGGATGGGTCGGTGCAAAGAAGGTGGTTCGTGTTTGTGGGGTTCCAACGTCTTTGACGCTGTTTGAGTTGCCATCAGCCAGCTGAATGAAGAGTGTCTACGCGAACGAGACATATGACATTCCTCGCAGCTTCAATCGAGCGAGGTCGCCTATTTATGTTAACTCAGAGTGCGCTTAGGGGCGAATGCAACATCGATTAGGATTACACAGTACTTTCAAGGACTGTTGAACGATACCAATAGATAAAAAAATTCTAGTTTTGACACTGAATTTTGCAATAGGCACAGCATTTCGGTTCTGCTGCTCGTTTAAAGGCGACTCACATTTAACAACTTACATTTTTTAAATAAAACAGCATTACAAACATATGCAGAAGATGACAAGCAGTTAAAAATAATCGGATGAAACACGTCGAATGAATTTAAAGTCATTACTTTAGTTTTAGGTGGCTAAAACTGAAGACAGTCCGGTGTCGAGACGGTAGTGTATCCTTTGAATGGAAGTCGGTTCTTACAAGTCCACCGACTCTCTCTTGCCTCCTCACCCAATCTCGTGTCTCAATTATTGCGACCTAATCTACGATTTGTCTTCGAGACTATAGAGCAGAGCCAGCAGTAATAAAAATATTGGAGACATTGTTTTAAAAGTAATAAAACTAAAGTTCAGCTGCATTATTATCAAGCTTGTATCACCCAATATCTAGCTCCACAATGCCGATGGACGTCTTTGCCGATGTCGTGGGCGTGCGACCACCGGCGCCTATTATACTGCTCGACGAGGAGCAGCAGCGAATTCTGCGTGAAGGCCCCAACGATCGTACGAATCAAAGGGATGAAGGCCAGCAACAACAGCGGCCCCCGTCGGCCGGCAATGGCTTGTTCGTGCCTCCAATGCGGCCGATATCGCAGCATGTTTTACCCCAGGCACCCCCGCCACCCACAACTAACTATCTCCGCACCGACTTTACTACTAATAATCGTCATCCACCTTTCACTCGCTCTACGAACCCCCGGACAAGTCGTGAACAAAGCATGGACGGCATCCGAACAAACATCACCAACCGGCAGAATCCAAACCCAGTAGCGGCTTACATGAAGGATCACGCGCCGAGCAATACCGAAAGCGGCAACTCGTTGTTCGCTCCAACTGACTACGATGACGTCGAGCCTACTGCAATGCCTTTCATATCAAGTACTGAATGTCCGGTGGAAGAACGACCAGACCCAACAAAGGGATTTCGAGGCAACAGGAGCAATCTCAAGTTGTCGGTGAGGTACATGATCATCGGAGCTGTGGTAGGAATCGCCCTCGGCGTTGTATTCGCTGAACTCGGTATTTCAGACATCGCGGCGCAGTGGATTTTGCTACCAGGTGACTTGTTCTTGCGAGCTCTTAACGCTCTTGTGGTGCCATATGTGTTCTGCTCAGTGGCAGTAGCGGTGGGAGACATCGTATTCGTCGGTAAAGTTTCGATCATCGTAACGCAGACCCTCAAGATTTTTGCAACCGGGTGGATGGTCTCCACGATCTTGGGCATCAGTTTGGCTTTTGCCTTTCGGCCTCTTTTCCGTCTCAAAAACACTTTCGTGAGTCCTGACGCTAACGCTGTAGGCCTAACTTGCTCAAATGGTCTCATGTTGGAGGTGTTGACCAACAACAGCATTTCCTGTTCTCTCAATGCTACGGAGCTATCACCAGCCAATGCGTTCATGTTGGAAGACGTGCACAAAGTATTTGAGACTAACAGCGACGCGGTGATCACTGATTTGACGATTAGTAAGCAGTTGATCTCAACGTTGGAATCTGTGGTGTCGAACAACATCTTCGCGTCGTTGTCCGATGGCGATTTACTAGCGATCATTGCCTTTGGTATGGTGTTAGGCTCGATTGCAGGAAGAAGCTACATTTCCAATACTCGTCAAGTAAATTATCTGTACTTGGTACTGTTGCAGCTACGCAACACTTTCTTTCTTGCTATGGAGTGGCTGATCTGGACTACGCCTGTCGTCGTCGTCTCCATCATTGCTGGAGGATTTGCGTCCAACCAGTATGCTGTAAGTCAGCTACCGAATGTTTACATGTTTCTCTTGGCTTGTATCTCAGCGACAGCAGTGCAAATTTTGATCGTCTACCCATTTGTCATTTTTTGCCTCGCTCGCTGTAACCCTTACGGCCACATGCAACACATGATTCGCCCGTATCTTTTCGCTTTCGGTTCTTCCTCGTCGCTGGCTACTGCTCCTGTAACTCTTATCTGCATTCAAAAGGCTCGATTGTGCTCACAGTCGATCGCTACGTACGTAGTGTCTGTTGGTGTTGTCGCGAACATGTCGGGCTCTGGATGGTACTATCCAATTGGTATTATATTTTTGGCCGAGTCATCCGGCAATGGCGACAAAATTACTTTCCTGCGCCTTGTAGCGATCTTTTTTTTAACGATTGTAGCATGTGTTGGGACACCGTCAGTTCCAAACGGTGGCATGGTGCTTATGTCTACCATGTACAAAATTGTTTTCGGAGTGAGTACACTTCCATCCACCTGGGCTCTCTATGTTGCATTTAATTTCTTTGCTGACCGTCTATTGGCCATTTGCAACGTTAACGACGACATCATGGCAGTCAAGGTTATTGCCGAGAATACTGACGAAACGGTGGCAGGCAATCGTCTCAGCCAACCCAACTAATTTGAATGTTACTGATAATTATTCCTACTCTTATACTTGACTTTGGAATTGTGAATGACAGGCAAAAGGAGCAAGAAATAGACATTACTTAATTTCGTAAAACTACATAATGCAAATAACGAGACGATTACAAAGTGTTTGCAATGGAGTGAGAGCTGTCAACGACAATATTGTCTTAATTGACAGCATTCGACGATATTTAGTTATTGATCCTGAAGGCTTTTATTGTTTATGGAATGGCCTATATCAACCGATGAGCAGTACACGACCAAAGATTACTTCCTGGTGCGCTGGTTGCCATCATACGTATTGTACCGAAGTTACACAAAGGTGTGTTTTTACATACACACCTGCCACACCAATGTGGTGTGGCTGTACCTTGTGTACAAGAGTAGGCGCGATGTGACCGTACCTAAGGTACGAAGGGTCGCATCGTGGCAAAGAGCCATGTAGTCATTATATACTTAGTTAAGTATAGTGACTATGCATGTTTGCATAATAATAACAGGCTATAGAGCCAGTAAATAGTGACTAGCACTAAGTATAGAGTAGGTGCTTCTATATTTAGTGTTAGAAGAAAACATAAATATGAATCAGTTTCAAACCTGCACTGTATAGTACTAGTTGCTAGAGCGTTCTATCCGTATAGAAATTGTATCTTTGATACTAGTCTTTCTGAGACTCGGTTAATACCGATAGGCACAAGCTAACGAGCTAGCCTGGGAGGGTTAAGCACCCTACGATATATAAGCTCTTGGAGCTTGTCTTCCTCTGCACATAGTGCATACGTAGCTTTGCTACAGTAGTTTGACTACTTCTTCTGCACATAGTGCATGACTAGTGTGGCTACAGTAGCTCGGCTACACCTGGTAGCACTCAAAGTCAATCCCGCACCTGGGTTTGCGACTACTTATCTGTGTGAGATTGGACATCGATGAGATGTCCGCGGTCGGCCTGTCACAGGCACAACAGGAAGGGTTACAGAAGCTGCCCCCTATACTTGGCCCTAAGGGCATGGAGTAACTCATCGCCTGAGTCAAAGAAGAGACAAACAAGCGTATTTATATCCTTGGTGAATAAAATAAAGCTCTAGTCGAGCATGTAAAGGGACATATGCTATCTTCTGCGCCTTCGCCCATGGCGACTATAGCGCAAGAAGTGGTCCGCAGACCAAAACCCATACAAACGGAAGTCGATAAGTTCGACGGCAAAGAAGGTGACAACCTTATGCTTTGGTTCTGACAGGTCAAGTCGGCTATGTTAATAGTAAAAGCCGGCCGAGGCATGCACCGCGTTGTTCAACGCAAACTCAATGAGAGTGAGCATCGTGCTCTATTTCTTGGGTGTTTCAGCACAAACACTGCGAAGCATATCGTTAATAACGCGGTTGAAGCGTTCAGTCTGACCATTGGTCTGCGGATGATCCGCTGTGGACATGTCCAGTCGAGTGCCCAATAGTTTAAAGACGGAAGTCCAAAACTTGCCCGTAAAACGGGGTCTTTATCCTTGACGGTTGCCACATGTTGTCTAAACTCACGATCCATAAACAGCTTTGCTGTTCCTTCTCCATCAATGGAGTCCGGCACTGCCGCTAAGTGAGCTATCTTGCTAAGTCGGTCAACAAAGACCAAAATGCCAGGGTTGCCTACCGCATCACGCGGGAGACCACACACAAAGTCCATACTGATGGACTGCCACAACCCCGAGGGTACAGGCAAACTCGCCAAAGGCACAGCCATACTAGGCAATGGCTTCACCCTTTGACACGTCTTACACATGCGTATATAAGTACCAGCCCATTTATACAACTGGGCCACCAATAATGCGTGCTCATCGAGCTGTAGGTCTTTTCACTACCAAAATGACCACCAAGGGGTGTATCATGAGCCTCATAAAGTATCTGATACTTGAGGTCCTCATGAGGCACCACAACACGAGGCTGGTCATCCGACCCTCTGCTATAGTACAACAGACCATCGATCAGTGCATAACGATGTAATCTCGCACGATGACGTGGTGACAGCTTCAACTTAGAGTTTTCAAACTCTGCGCTATCCAGCGCCTGCAAGATGGCAAAACATGCCTCATCGCGTGCATACACCACACGGATACGATCGGTTACTGACGAACTCACAACATTGAGATGAGCAAGCTCATTGTCAGGTCTACGCGATAACGCATCAGCCAAAAATTCTGATTTCCCGGCTTATACTTCACCTCGAAGGTATACTCCGCAAAAAAGGAGAGCCAACAAGCCATTGTCTGCGAGAGATGAGGAGACTGTGTCGCTGTGCGTAATGACGCATGAACGGTATAGATCACAAACGGCTTTGAGCCCAACAGAACTTAACAAGGCATACTTCATCGCAAGTAGCTCCTTGTCATGAACTGGACAGTTCTTCTCTGCAGCTTTCAGCTGGCGGTACTCAAACGCGATGACGCGTTTCTCGACATTCGGCGTCAACTTGCAAGAGAGCACTGCCAACGTCAAAATCCGAAGCGTCACATACATCTCTAACCGGTCAATAAGGGTCAGGCAAAGCCAGAACTGGCGCCTGAAGGAGACTCTCCTCAATGGCTTCAAAAGCCTCGTGGCGCTCGGTGTTACAACACCATTCCGCATCCTTTTCAAGGAGATTCGACAATGGCCTAGCCACTTCTGCATAGTTGTGGCTATACTTGTGCAAGTATTTGCCAACCCCAACCACTTGCGAAGGTCTTTCTAGTTCCTCGGAACCGGCCAATCCGCTATGGCTTTAACCTTAACAGGGTCTGCCAGATTCCTCGTTTTCCAATGAAAGGTCAAAAAAATCACTTCGTTTACTGACTGCACCCCACCCTCTTGGGTCAATGTTTCGTCATGAGATGCTTGCATCTCATTTTCCTCAAAGACAACCGTCATTTTTGACTTCACTTGGTCCTCCAGGGTCAGTTCCTCGTCACTCATGTCACTTGGACTCATGTCCTGACATCTTGGCTTGCAGCCGCTAACACCACTCACGGTGTTTAATGATGTAACATCATTCTCATGACACACGTCATGTGTGCCATCAAGTGGGTTCCCAACCACACTATCGACAGTCATTGGGTATTGCCCAGGACTATTGTCCTCGGCACTTACAGTGTCTACAAAGTCGGATATCCGACATCTAAAATATTGACCAACTCGGTCCAGTATCCGCGCCAAAAACGCTTTTGCTTCCTAGCAGAGGTGGTTCATGACCCTCCAAAGCCCCACCAGGAGAATTGCACGTTGCATCTAAGGTCTTCGACCTCCAATCAATCCATGGCTCATGACGTTCTAGCCATGCCATACCTAGGATGAGGTCATACCTCGCATCCAGGTCTAAGACCAAACAGCGTTCCATGCTGTAAAAGTCCAAAAACCTTACATATAAGTCCATCGGGACTTTGGGTACCGTACACGCGTATTCGTCGCTAAGAAAACTGTGACTGTGTCACTTTCACGCGCTACGAGCGCTTCAGCATACTGCTGACTACCTACAAGCCTGGCTTGCATTCTCGTTCCTTTTTTGAGAGTTCAGAGCTCTTTGGGGCTAGGCCTTGTTTGCTTCTACCTCCTAGAGGCTCAACAGAACTCAGTTCTTCCCCAGTAGGGCGCCCCACGCCTACTGGGCTCCGCCGTTTCCCCGCAGCAAACCAGAAGGTTTACCTATGGCGCGTCGGCCCTTCGAGGTTAAATATGCCTTTCGTGCAGGGCATTTTGCCATCAAATGGCCTGTGCTCTTGCAGATACAATATCTGCGCACAATTTGCTGCTCCGCAGGTTGAAGCTCAGCTTCTGCATCCTCCACTTGGCTACAGTCCGTGGGTACAGACAGACCCATCAGATGAGTAGTTATAAGTGGCAGGCCTAGCAGCCTTAAAGTTGGTCTTGGTATTCCATGCCACTCCAACAGCTTCCTCAAATGAGGACGGGCTTACCCGGAAGACTTTTGTTCTAGCAACGCCAACTCGAAGGCCCTACATAAAGACCGTGACGGTCACTGCCTCAGGCATAGGGTTTATGACCATGGCAGCAATGAGAGTTCTCGACTCTTGCACATATGCCGCAAGCTCACGCTTGCCTTGGCGACATGCCATAAACCGCGACCGATTACAATGTGCTTGGTTTGGCGGTGCATACTGCCGGGTCATCTGAATTTTCAGATCGGCCCATGTGGGAAAAGCATCTTGCAATGATGCACCACATGGGAATGCCCGCTGTTTGGCTAAGCCACCTAACTTGCCCGTGGCAAAGCCCACACAGTATGGCTCATAGGTGGTCGACATAGACATAGCCGACTCAACTTGTTGGAACCAAAGCATAAGGTTGTCACCTTCTTTGCCGTCGAGCATATCGACTTCCATTTGACTGGGTTTGGTCTGCGGACCACTTCTTGCGCCATAGTCGCCATGGGCGAAGGCGCAGAAGAAGGCATCTATGCCTTTACATGGTCGACTAGAGCTTTATTGTATTCACCAAGGATATAAATACGCTTGTCAACTTCTTCTTCTCCCCCGGGCGATGAGTTACTCCACGCCCTTAGGGCCAAGTTTAGGGAGCAGCTTCTGTAACCCTTCCTGTTGTGCCTGTGACAGGCCGACCGCGGACATCTCATCGACGTCCAATCTCACACCGATAAGTAGTCGCAAACCCAGGTGCGGGATTGACTTTGAGTGCTACCAGGTGTAGCCGAGCTACTGTAGCCACACTAGTTATGCACTATGTGCAGAAGAAGTAGTCAAACTACTGTAGCAAAGCTACGTATGCACTATGTGCAGAGGAAGACAAGCTCCAAGAGCTTATATATCGTAGGGTGCTTAACCCTCCCAGGCTAGCTCGTTAGCTTGTGCCTATCGGTATTAACCGAGTCTCAGAAAGACTAGTATCAAAGATACAATTTCTATACGGATAGAACGCTCTAGCAACTAGTACTATACAGTGCAGGTTTGAAACTGATTCATATTTATGTTTTCTTCTAACACTAAATATAGAAGCACCTACTCTATACTTAGTGCTAGTCACTATTTACTGGCTCTATAGCCTGTTATTATTATGCAAACATGCATAGTCACTATACTTAACTAAGTATATAATGACTACATGGCTCTTTGCCACGATGCGACCCTTCGTACCTTAGGTACGGTCACATCGCGCCTACTCTTGTACACAAGGTACAGCCACACCACATTGGTGTGGCAGGTGTGTATGTAAAAACACACCTTTGTGTAACTTCGGTACAATACGTATGATGGCAACCAGCGCACCAGGAAGTAATCTTTGGTCGTGTACTGCTCATCGGTTGATATAGGCCATTCCATAAACAATAAAAGCCTTCAGGATCAATAACTAAATATCGTCGAATGCTGTCAATTAAGACAATATTGTCGTTGACAGCTCTCACTCCATTGCAAACACTTTGTAATCGTCTCGTTATTTGCATTATGTAGTTTTACGAAATTAAGTAATGTCTATTTCTTGCTCCTTTTGCCTGTCATTCACAATTCCAAAGTCAAGTATAAGAGTAGGAATAATTATCAGTAACATTCAAATTAGTTGGGTTGGCTGAGACGATTGCCTGCCACCGTTTCGTCAGTATTCTCGGCAATAACCTTGACTGCCATGATGTCGTCGTTAACGTTGCAAATGGCCAATAGACGGTCAGCAAAGAAATTAAATGCAACATAGAGAGCCCAGGTGGATGGAAGTGTACTCACTCCGAAAACAATTTTGTACATGGTAGACATAAGCACCATGCCACCGTTTGGAACTGACGGTGTCCCAACACATGCTACAATCGTTAAAAAAAAGATCGCTACAAGGCGCAGGAAAGTAATTTTGTCGCCATTGCCGGATGACTCGGCCAAAAATATAATACCAATTGGATAGTACCATCCAGAGCCCGACATGTTCGCGACAACACCAACAGACACTACGTACGTAGCGATCGACTGTGAGCACAATCGAGCCTTTTGAATGCAGATAAGAGTTACAGGAGCAGTAGCCAGCGACGAGGAAGAACCGAAAGCGAAAAGATACGGGCGAATCATGTGTTGCATGTGGCCGTAAGGGTTACAGCGAGCGAGGCAAAAAATGACAAATGGGTAGACGATCAAAATTTGCACTGCTGTCGCTGAGATACAAGCCAAGAGAAACATGTAAACATTCGGTAGCTGACTTACAGCATACTGGTTGGACGCAAATCCTCCAGCAATGATGGAGACGACGACGACAGGCGTAGTCCAGATCAGCCACTCCATAGCAAGAAAGAAAGTGTTGCGTAGCTGCAACAGTACCAAGTACAGATAATTTACTTGACGAGTATTGGAAATGTAGCTTCTTCCTGCAATCGAGCCTAACACCATACCAAAGGCAATGATCGCTAGTAAATCGCCATCGGACAACGACGCGAAGATGTTGTTCGACACCACAGATTCCAACGTTGAGATCAACTGCTTACTAATCGTCAAATCAGTGATCACCGCGTCGCTGTTAGTCTCAAATACTTTGTGCACGTCTTCCAACATGAACGCATTGGCTGGTGATAGCTCCGTAGCATTGAGAGAACAGGAAATGCTGTTGTTGGTCAACACCTCCAACATGAGACCATTTGAGCAAGTTAGGCCTACAGCGTTAGCGTCAGGACTCACGAAAGTGTTTTTGAGACGGAAAAGAGGCCGAAAGGCAAAAGCCAAACTGATGCCCAAGATCGTGGAGACCATCCACCCGGTTGCAAAAATCTTGAGGGTCTGCGTTACGATGATCGAAACTTTACCGACGAATACGATGTCTCCCACCGCTACTGCCACTGAGCAGAACACATATGGCACCACAAGAGCGTTAAGAGCTCGCAAGAACAAGTCACCTGGTAGCAAAATCCACTGCGCCGCGATGTCTGAAATACCGAGTTCAGCAAATACAACGCCGAGGGCGATTCCTACCACAGCTCCGATGATCATGTACCTCACCGACAACTTGAGATTGCTCCTGTTGCCTCGAAATCCCTTTGTTGGGTCTGGTCGTTCTTCCACCGGACATTCAGTACTTGATATGAAAGGCATTGCAGTAGGCTCGACGTCATCGTAGTCAGTTGGAGCGAACAACGAGTTGCCGCTTTCGGTATTGTGTTTTTACATACACACCTTTGTGTATCCCCGGTACAGGTGTTGTGCAGTTTTTCGAGAAGACAATGTTGTTAAGAAAACTAGATTTTGTCTGCAACGTAGTATTTGGAATTATTCTTATACAAGTCCAACCTTCCTACTACATATATGTGATGTTGCCTTCCACAGCAACCTACTAGCAACCTACCTCTAAAACTTCACAGTTTGCCTCTTCTCATACTGGGACTTAACATGCCACTAAGATGTCTCAAGGCATTTCTTATACAACCGACAACACACCAGTGGGTGAATACTTCTCTAATGTAGCCAAAAACAATGAACTCACGTTAGCTGATTCTCAATATGGAAAGGTATCCACAATGAGGAGGTAACTAGTCAATTTATATCGCTACACCGGATTTTTCTCTTCACGTGCGCCTCTTGACTGGCCAGCTTTGTTTTAATCAAGTCTATCATTATGGGCTCGCCCGAGACGTTATATTTCTAGTAAATAAAAATTGATATTATTATGAAAATGTCGCGAGGTGTCAACGTTTAAGTCTCGAGTCTGGAGCTGTGTCTGTGAACTGCATACAGCGATCATTATACTACTACCATTTTTGTCGCAAGTTGATGTCACGACCCGTAACACAGTATTGATAGTAGCATTAACTGCTGCCCCATTGTCTCTCACCCACCCCTCCGCCAATATTTCTTAGAACAGGAAAAGATCCGGTAATGTTCGCATGTTCCTCACTAACGTCATTTTTCAGCGTAACTATGCCAATGTCGTAAACTTCGGTGATTGTGAAGACTTTCTTGGTCACTGCACGATAAAAAAGTATTGTCTCGATCATCGGACGTTGACGCCGACTTTTTTAGAAGTGCTCTTTCCAGCCGACAGGAGCTTTTTGCGATTGATGTTTGTAAAATAGCTTCAATTCCCCGCTTGCTCGCTAACCTCAAGTTGGTGTTTTTTAGCTGCTGTGTAACCGAACCTTCTCCGCGCTACTGTTGTTTCAAGTATCATGTAGTAATAGCGCGTCTGAGAAAGTAGATGGTCCACTTAAAGGGTCAAGCAGACTTTGTGATGACGTATCAGGTTTTACGGCTGCCACTTTCCTATCAACTAATTACTCAATCTTTGCGTATTGACTTGTACAGGATATAGAGCATATCAAGGGATTTTATCCCCCTTTTCACCACACGTCTCAGCTCAATTGAAAGGCTTAAATACACGTAACAAAGCAAAGCATGCACATTCTTTTTACGACAACGTATCAGCTTGTGTCAGCTGAGGCTTTGTCTCGTCTGACATTATGTCCAAATCAGCTGTCTCAATCTCTAATGGCAATACAACATACAGGTTTATTTCAGATACTTCTCCTGCCAATTACGAGCAACTTTTGGGTGAAGACAAACACCGGACAATGTTTTTAAGCTGTTGGGGTTGGACAAATTCAATGAAAAACAACAACCAGGCCTTTTGACTAGCTCAACATTTATAGTTTTTAAAGATTACATGGACCGCTACAACGCAATAAACGCGGATAGCAAAATGAGGCTCATCGAAATTCTTTTAAGCAACTACCCAGCGGAGTCATCTACGAAATATTTAGAGCTGCAGAACAGCACTGGAAGGAAGCCCATATAGACCCAGTGGATGTCTTTAAAGTTTTGGGACTAGACAAAAATGATCCTTCTATTTTACACAAAACGGAACAAAATAGCTGGTTGGATTACATAAAAATTTTCTGGAAGGGTACGACTGAAGCAGCGACAGGACGAGAAAACAATTAACCTCAATAACTTTCCACACACCTTACTTAGCTTCTTTGATACAGAAAAGCTGGTAAAATTGTATCTCGAGGCAAATCCTGCGAATATGAGTTTTACCAACCAGTTTAGAAAACAATTTTGTGACGCTGGATATTAGCAATGAGGATCACAGAGAGGTAATGATTAGATTATTGGGACCACAAGCTTATCAAGATATTCTATCTAGATGGATCCCAGCGTGAGATAGCCAGCTTTCTCCGGGAAAGACAAAACGTTTGGAAGAATCGACCAGTAGCACGACTCCCTCGAAAACGAGCAAGCATTTGAAGATACCAAGCCGTAGCCAAGCTCTCTCGGAAAAGAGCAAACGCTCGGGGGAATCAACCGATACCGCGACTTCTCGAGAAAAGAGCAAGCGTTTAAGGAATTCAAACGATGCTTAAACTTCTCCGGAAAAGTGGAAGCGCTTGGAGAACCCGACCGATGTCAAGACTCCTTCAAAAAGGGAAACTGCTTAGCATATACGACCGATAGACAGACTTTTCCACAAAATGGAAGTTCTGCATACTAAAAGTGCTCGCTCCGACGGATACTGGCACGAATGATCGTCTTCGGCTTGATGGAAGTTCTTGGTATACGATAAAGGCGTGGTGAATAAAATTAAAGTAATAGCGATTATAAGTGTAAGCATGCAAGTACCAATTGTGAGGTCAGGTACGTCAGAAAGAAATTAAGGTGCAGTTGAGAGAACATAAAGTGTTGGTAACAGCAAATAATTTTTTATATGCATAAACGTGCACTTTTGTATACCTTTGCTCACAAACGTATTCCTTGAGTCAACTTAACCACTATACCCAAGCTACAGCCAACCAGTACAATTTCTTTATAGACTTTTCCGGCGGATGTAGCCGCTAGTGCTAAAGGCAGGCTTACAAACGTAACGCCGTCCAATAGAACGAAACATACCCTGCTTCAAGATAAGGTATCCTGTAATAGCAAAAAGCACAAATGTTGCAATGACACCGTCACGCACACGAGTCGCCACAGGCAATTCCGGGCGCATGCTGAGTGACACACTGATAACTGCGACCATAGCCAGCGATGCCTCCATCACCATGTTCAGGAGGCTGTGTTGCTGCTGGAAAGTAAATGGCGATTCATCCCGCTTGTCCGGTATGAAGTTTCCAACAAGCAAATCGAACGAGTCCTGGCGGATGCCGTCCGAATAATTGTTGAGATAATAACGGGTCACCGAATTTATGCCATCTTGCAAAGCTCCTGTGATCGTTCGTCGTCCTGTGCGCGTAAAGTCTGTCTTTAGTGCGCCCGTACCAGCATACATTCTGCTCACATAGTCTGCATTATCGGCCCATGCGTTCTTAAAAACGACTTCAAAGCTTTTGTAAGGTGAATCCAGCACACAATTGCCGTTGTTATTTTCAGTAATGAACGGATAGAGTTGCAACGCCATAAGTACCATACGTCGCGCAAAAAGACTCATCACCACATTTGTGCGATCTAAATTGTCCATGCAGTTTACACGAAAGACGCCGCGCTGCCGTGAAAGAATTCGCCCTTCACCATCACACTCAAACCATCGATATTGCGTGAACTGTTCCTCCACCTCTGTCATGAGCTTGGACAAATTATGCCATGCCATCTTGCGGCACTCGTGGTGGAAGTCGAACCATACGTACGCAATAGGCTCTGCAAAAAGTTGTGAAATCGACGTCGGCGCCAACGGAATATTCGTTTGCGGAGGTGAGTACTCTTTTGCGGAAAACGACGCCGATGTCTGCAGCGTCAAAACGCTAGACGGTCTAGAACCTTTGTCACTACTAGCTGTGGCTGCACTAGTAGGAGATCCTACAGCAGAATACTCTCCATTCAATGGCGAAAATCCGTTGCTTCCACTAGATCCGGGCATAGTCGATAGCGAGGCCGACAGAGCCTGAGACGCAGGAGAAGCAGACAACGGCATCGGCGATGCCACCGAAGACCCCACAGAGCTAGTTCCGTCGCCTAATTTCGATAGCTGGTTGTACTTCTTGACATATTTACCGAAAGCCGAGCCAAGTTGTGCCTGGTCGCGCACCGTTGCACTCTTACCGATCTTGTCAATGAGGTTCACGCACGTGACGTGTCCGTATCGCTGAATAAGGTTGTCCATGTGCGCGCGAAAAGCCAACTCGTTCCAATCCACGACACTCTCGTGTCCCGAAAAGGCGTAGCGCGTCCGGGGCATGTACTTCAAAGTGACCATCTGGTCCCAATACAACGGGATACTACCTCGGACCTGCACGTACGAGCAAACGCCTCGGGACGGCTTGACCAGTAGCATTTCTGTTTCGGCAAAATTGGCCACGCATCCATCCTTGTCGACACCGCGTACGTTGAATCGAGTGCCCAATCGTCTCCAACTCCGTCTTGTAAAAAATAAAATATCGCAGCGCTGGCCATTGACGTTGCATTTCTTAATGATCTTGACAAAGCCCGAAATGACTGGCACAATCCAGTCACTGAGTTCCGATTTAATGAAGCTACCTAGCACGGGCTTGTTCCAAAAAAAATCCTCCTCGGCACGTGCGTACAGCGGCGACTGTCGTTGCGCTGCCGATGAAAACGAGGCTGATGCCCGTTTCTGAGCCGACAGTGTCAAATCCAAATCATAGCTGAAGTAAAAGGTGCGTGAAGCAAATGCGGATGTGAGCATGCGGCAGTATTCTCGCTCGTCCTGCTTTTCCCTCGTGCTAGCGTGCTTAAAGAAGCTCTGATGAGCAGCGGTATTCACGGGCAGCAGCGTTAGCTCCAGAACGCAGTAAATCTTCTCACTATTTGGACCCGATCCCACGACGCGTGAGTTCGTCACCACAGCTAAATATGGACCACTAAGAAGAGTATACACCCCGTATACCACGTGTATGGGCATCGCAATGGCGTCGTCGCTCGGCTGCGCAACGCTGACATTGAGCTGCTCAATGTCCACGCTACCAGTCGACGCATTGGTTGATAGCCGCAGCCATAGGCCTGCACCTGTACGACAGTCCTCGAGTAGCAATTCTGCCCGCTCTATATACGCTTTAAACATGTTTTTAGTAGGCGACGAATGACGAATAAATGACATGAGCTAATGCTAAGGGGGAAGACAGTAAAAGTACAGGGTGTTTTTTGCTATCTTGTATTATTTAATATAATTTAGGTTTTGATTCTAGACAAGACTGATACATAGCATTGTTTGTCTTATATATATGAATGACCTGTGAAAACTAAAGAATGTTTCTGCCATAAGATTGCCATGAAATTGATTAACTCTCGTTCCATCGTATATATACTGAAACTTGTGTACATTACACTATTACCATCCTCATGTCATAGAGCGATCAACTTGTTGCGGTTCTTCTTCATACGCATTTCGAATCTACGTCGTGTCCTTGTGTCAGTAACATTTTCCACAATATCGATTATGACAGTGAATATTAGAGTGCATGTTGATCGTATACAGCATTCGTGTATACGCTAAGCTTCCTCGGTATACAATAACTTGAACGTTATGAGCTAAAGTGTCTTTTTGTAGATTCAAGTCGATACACTGATACTTTGCTGGTATTCCATATTGGAAAAGCCCAACATATAAATCTGGCAGCAAGGTCATAGGCAGCTGCTATTCTTAAAAAAGCGCAGTACTATCACATCCCGAGTTGCAAAGCTCGATTTGATTGCAGCAAACAACCAGCTCGTTTTGACGAAAGCAATGCTACAAATAGGCAAAACACAGTGTAGCGGCTTGCTAGGATCGAGTTCAATCAAAGTAAGTATCTCCATGATCAGCAATACCATCTACGACTACGTGGTCATATCCGACGGCAGCGACAACAGACCCACGGTTAATGAACTTCACTACATTAATTGGCAGTCTTGGTTTCTACATAGCATCTGGAATATGAATACTATCACTACATCGTCTTTCACTGTGCTCACGAATTCTGTCGACACTAGTGAATTCGTTCAGCTTACCATGCCAAAGCTCGCTAGCGCTCGCCTTACAAGGCTTGTGCGGTTCTCGCTGACCTCAACGCAAATAGCTGCAGCGCCGGCAAGGTTTGTTCCCAGTACGGGCTTGCTAGCATAGACAACGAACGGTCGGATCGAGTCTCCGTCATTCATATTTGCATCGTCAGCCCCAGTGAGGCGGAAAACGAAGACTCCGCCTGCGGACGACACGTTGGCCAACAATTTCGCCTCGGCCGGTCACGAGCTGCAATGTGTTTATGTCTCCCTCGTGCTTTACCTCAGCCAACGTGTTCAGCTCAACACAAGCGTGCCTCGTCATCCCCTTATTTTTGCATTGCAATGGAACGTCAATCAGCAGCTATGACGGTATCGGTGCTGCTACGGCAAAATGCCCAACAGATTGACGTTTGTAAACCGAGCACGCGCTGCGCGACTTCCTCTCGTCATGTGTGGGACGCACAGGCAAGTGCCGTGTAATGTGGTTGGTCTGCTAAGGCTAATCGTCAGTTGGATAGGTAGTACAAAGCTACACTAGTAATGAAATGCTCCTGATTAATTTAACAATGCACCTGCAGTCCAAGCCACCAGCTGACACTAAAGGGAGCACCTCATACTTGTTTGAAGCGTACATTATACGCGTAGTGCCATCGTTCACCACGTACAACGCCTCAACTTTCGGCTACAAAGTGTCTTGATGCAGAAGCGCTTTAAATGTGCCTGGAGTCCTATATAACTGAAAGTAGTAAAGCAAACTGCTTTGAATTAAGCCAAGCACGAAAGATGCTACTTTTATCCGATGGTCATTATAAAGCTTCCTCTGACTGTGGATTCCTTCACTATCTAACCTCTACTGCCTCATCAACGTTTTCGTTCCCTTCTCTGAAATGTAGTGTCCGCAAAATATCACAGTTTCCAACAAACTCGCCTTCGTCAGCTTGTCTCCATATAGTCGCTGCATTAATGTGGGCACAATCAGTCTGCCTTGGGAGCACGACGGCGTCGGGGGTTGCTCGTCTCGGACGCCTCAAGCAGCTTCTTTGGCTGCTCTTCTTCCTCCTCGCCCTCCGATTCACTGCGGATGTCTTTCTCAACGCTGCCGTCATTCAATGCCTTAACCACCATCTTGACGATCAATACGCCCCAGTAGATGTGAAGCACAAGCAACAGGCACAAAAAGCCAAACCAGACAACCCACAACCAATACCACACTTGGGCATCAATGCCATGGTAGCTACCAGCCTTAGTAATCGGCACAACAATGTCCCGGTATGCGTTCGCGTAAACACTGTGTAGAATGTTGTATGAGAAAAAGAACCAGCGCACAACGAACCACACGAGCGCGAAGAGACCGAAGAAAACGTTGGCCGCTGTCTCCCACTGTAGGTACACAAACACCTTGGCTGTAATCGCACAACAAAGCACAATAACGTCATTTGATCAGAATTGCACGTAATAATTGCACTAGCATCACTAGAGATAGATTGCAACATACCAGTCTCCAACAAGAGATCATTGACGTCGTGCATCATGAGCACGCAGAGACCGATTCTCGTAAGATCGACGTAATACGAGAATAGCATGAGCGAAATGGTGGCAAAGTGATGTACAAACATTTCAGCGTTATCTTTGCGCTTAATCGTGTAGTGTTTATTTGTGAGGTTGAGCATAAAGTCTGCGCTCTGGATCCAGTAGCACAGGTAGATCATATAATACCAGTGCAGCGCTTCACTGACGACTTGGGGGAAATCCTTGAAATACTCCTCCTTGTTAAAAAACCACGTCTCATTCCAGCCAATATAGAACCCAAACACGTGAAAGACACCCACTGCCGCGTTCTTGTAGAGCGACTCACGCATCTTATCCTTCTTCTCCAGGGTCAACCAGCCCTTGTGCAACATGTACTGGACCATCGGTCGGATAAGTACCGTGTCTACAACATAGTGAAACACATACAAACCAAGTAAAGCAAGGACAAAGCGCTTGACCTCAGTGAGGGGGTCACAAGCGGTCAGATAGCACGGCATTGTTAGGATTTGCGAGCTTTTGCACTATGAGCCTTAGCGTCCAGCCACTATTTATTGTGTAATGTACACAAAATCAATAAAAAATCAGTGAGCAAGATTACGATTGATTGTCTATATGTTTGATTAGACAGTAATTGACGATAGACTGCTCAGCTGTCATGGTTGCATTGCAAAGTTAATGGCAGTAGTCAATGCACTGAGATCATATAAATTGATTGTGTTTCATGCACTATTGTAAAGCACTGGACAAAAATCATTGTTCAATACCAAAATTACATGATACAAACTATCATTAACTAGCCTTAGTCGTTGCTCATGTGAACCAACACAGTGTCTACAAACATGTATGAGGCCTATATGTCCATGGCCAAGAAGCTCCAGAAACGCTCCCAATCGCTCGTGCTGCGTAGTCCGGCACGATCTCTCTCTCGCACGTCACGTATTGTTGTGACGGGTGTTATGACGAGCGCTTCCGCTTTCCTGCTGCTCAATAAGTCGACTTTTTGCCAAGACGCAATCATCCTCGCAGCTGCGGTGCTTGTCTGTAGACTGTTTTTGGTGTGCCATTGATTAAACTGTTTTCATAATGGCACAACAGGAGGGACCGGTAGGCAATAACGGTCCAGACAAGAAGAACGATGACCCTATGGAGAAGATCATTGACGCAGTAATGGGAAACTGCAGTGAATTCACCATGGCTGGTAGTTTAGGATTTTGTTTGGGCTATGCCCTAAAGCAGGCGGGCAAGGCCGCGGCGTGCGCGGTAGGCTTCGTATTCGTCATGGCGCAGGTGGCAGCCTACAGCGGGTACATCGATATTAAGTGGGGCAAGGTACAGAAAGACGTGATTACTAAAGTTGACCCCAATGGAGACGGCAAGATCGATAGCCAAGACGTTAAGTTGTGGTATTGGCAACTGCTTAAGATCATAAAGATCAAGTGCCGTCATCCGCGGGCTTCTCCGGTGGCTTCGCGCTCGGTGTCTACTGCTCATAAATATATTGTTAACATAACAATAAAGCTTGTTGCTACCTTGACTTAGTGGTAGTATACCTTTCCTGCAAAATACACATCGTATTGATACAAATATGGCCTTTACTCGGTTGGAAAAGCCTTGGCTAGAAACCCGACAATAATAGACCGATCGTCTGCGCTGCTTACACCCATACTCTTCAGCTCGCGCGAAAATGCTGGCACGCTACTAATTCCGTTGCTGATAAGGTTGAGCCCCAAGGTGGCATATAGGATGATCTCTGGTCGTGTGAACGATAAAAATGTCTGCTTAGCACTATCTGAGCAGGTCGGGAAGCAATCCAGCCAAAGCTTCTCTCGCAACCGCGTCTTTTGATCGTCGTTTGCCACCTGCAACGACACATTAACGGTAAGAAATCATTTACTGACCATCGCATTCAACAACACTATCGAAACGGTACCGTGACGGCAATGGAAGTCGACGTCTCGCCTCCGTCTTGATTCGTCTACACAATGTCATGAAAACAAAAAAATGATCGTATGAGTAACATGTGATCAAGGCACGGTGAGAAGGGAGGAGTAGACCCTACCGACAGACCCACTTTACGAAGGCCATGGGCACAAAGATTCAGTCCCCGTGCTGTCAACTACGTTTCCTACAATAAGGTTACAGCAGCCAACACGTGACCATATTTGTCGAGTGGGTATCGTCTTTAGGTTTCTCCATGCCCAAGCAAACAACCAAACTCAAAACCTTTCTATAATAAAACGACAGTCGTACCGTCGGGTCTTTCTCAATGTAAATCCTATACGCTTCATATGTTCGCAGTCGAGGTGTATATAGCTTTGTTTTCCATTCCTTTCACAAAAGTCCAAGCCAACACAACACCGCAAATTAATTTAACAAACTTTAAGGAAGAAACCTTGTTGCAAACCCCATGCCACACCTCCGTCTCATCCTCAGCGTTATCAAATTCAATTGGAGCAATCCATCCTCTCTTCAATAGTCGAGCCAATATATGTCCAGCCATTCTCGTTCTTGCCTCGCCTACTAATGTTGTTGCTGTAGCGGTTGGAGCAGTCGACGCTGTGCCGTCCACGATGACGTCTACGTCGCCCTGCTCACGCTTAACCGTCGTCATCTGCGTCGTAAACAGCTGGACGCCATCACGTTCCAGCCATTCACGAAGTACCGTCTCCTCCATAAATTCCATGTCGTTTTCGTCTGATGTTTCCAGAATGCCCGCATGTTCCAGCAGCACCACAAATTCGTCTTCGCTCATTTGGTCTATGATAATAACGGCTACTGCTGCGACCGTCAAAAAGAGGCGGCAGTTTTGTGGCACGAACGAACCTGTCGCATAAAAGAGTTTAAATGAAAGCCACAAAAAGAGACTATTCTCTTATCAACTTTCTTTGCACTTTTATTCATTTACTAAATATCCGACTGTCCGACATAGAACGTAGCAAGGCCAATTCGAAAAAAAGTGTTTTCTTTAAGTACCACCACTTGTCCGTCTTCAAGAGACACGGTCGGATAGAGTGATGATGATATTCATTCATAGTCAGATCTTCTGAACAGTATTTACAAACGCTAAGTGGTATTTCTATACACCTATGTAGATGCTACACAAAGAAAATTATGCAGCAATGGGTTTGCTTTGATCGCCTGCACTCTCTGTGTATACCTTTTACTGCAGGTTATAGTGTCGATGTCATTGCTGCTGCATCTAGACTACCTTATTCCTAAATGGCGCATATTGCCGAGCTGCTCGGGGTGTTTAATCTATTGGAGGAAAGTCATTGCATGTGCGAATAGATCGTGAAGGTGCTTTAGGACAACTGCAGACCCCCAAATTGTATTTTGGCTCACTATCTCCCCTTGTTATTTTTATTGCTTGGGAGCTTTCGATTGCAAAAATCCAGCTGCGCATGAATGAAAGTCGAGATCGTTAAATATGAAATCAGAAATGATGCAGTCGATTTTATTCTGGACTGAATGCTGGGGCTCGGTCGTGCAGCGAGGTTTTTGTTGCCATGCGTTTTTAAGGATTGGCGTATAGGAAAACCACTGACGTTTTACTACGGTTTAGCTTGGGTTCTAGTAGTCGGGCCTGCTGCTGATGCTTTATTGTTTGTTCTGTCTTGTATCCCCCCACCTGAGCTTCTTCGTCTTACTGTGCTGTACAAAACTTTGTTTGTGCTGAATATAATTAATGGTCTTGATTGCGCTGCTTCGTTCCTTGTAATGTTAAATGGTATCTTTTGTGGCTAAGATTGGCTGGCGTATGGGTTTCTAAGCAGGAAGCAAGACCCTATGATTGAACACTCGCCGACCACATCAGCAATTTAGTACTATCAAATTAAAACTGCATACAGCCGTCTCCAAACACCTGATGGCCATGCCATCGACCTGGATTATCTTTCTCGAGGATAATTAAGATGAGGTGTGTGTGACGACACTAGCTACTCGATCATTGCGGTTGTGCTCATTGACCTAAAAGCAGACCTTGTATCTTATTTACTAAGTGTATAGAGGTGAGACTTTCTTATATTGCAGGATGGATGGTGTTTAAGTTGATGTATTTCGCGTTGTGCTTTCGTTTACAATAGTTGGTTAGTATGCCTTGCAAATTCAACTCTGTTGTTCGTGGTAGCGTAATAATTGGTCCATCACGAACAGCGGAATCCCATTGAAAATTTGTTATGGTCGGATAAGTAATCATATTGTCAGTTTTTCTGATATATAAATGTACAGAAATGCAAGCGTCACAGCTGAGGTGATAGATAAAATACCACTTCAAGTTAAGTAGTTGAGCTCTGTATTCTATGTCATATCTCCATTGGGATGACCAAGAGTTTAGAAATTGAATACATTACTCGCACTCAATGAGAAAGAGTTTACTACTATCTGGCGTCCTTTCCAGCAATGGCATTCAAGCAGAGGACGGGGTTGGCTTGCAGGTATTTCATGGAAGAGCACTGCTAACCAACACAATGGATACAGATGACTACACTGTTATGAGCTGCAAACAAGTGGAGGAAGCTAGATGTATTGGGCAGTGCGCTAAATTATGGTGTGACAGCAGCGAGATTGGAGATTGCGCACCCGATTTTCGACCGATTGTTCGAGTGGCTGATCGATGCGCTAGTTGCGAACGTGGAGATTTATTTCTATCTCACGATATTCTCCAGAAACTTTCAGGTATAAACAAAGACCAGCAGTTGTTTCCAGTCCGATGGAAGTGTGTGGATTGCGGGATGAATGTCGGTAGACCTATTAGCAGCAATGAGAAAACTAAAGGAGAAAAGATCCACCCTGGACCCGAAAGCCAGGTGCATGCGATGTTATCATTAGACAATACGACTGACCAAGTTGCTCATCAACCGATTGAAGAACTTGAAGACGGAGGTGTCGGTTGTTCCTTGTCGGATGAAAATGTTGCTGGAAGCTCCGACAACGAAGTTGAAATATCTTATGTGATAAATAATGACTGGAACAAAGGCGATGAAGAGAACAGCAACAGCAATGGCGGTACATTTTCATCTAGTTTTGGGTCCGCGTCAGGAACTGTAAGGCGGGGGCCTCTTCAAAAAGAGAGAGCAGATTATTTCATGTCCAATGGGTCATCGTCATCAAACCACGCAAATGATGCTTCGTCTCGACCGTCTCCAGTCTCATCAACAAGAGTTTCGATTAGCGGCTCATCAACTGCTGATGAAAATGCTTTTAGCGGTGGCTTACGATCTTCTTCATCAACAGCGACTCAGGACTCTAGATACCATTTGGAAGCGACGTTTTTCGACAATTCACAAGATGCACGTGCACTTTCTACTTCGTCTAGTTTGTCAGGTGTCTCGCCTCACAAGAACCAGCCACCCACAGCGATGATGGAATCTCTAATACAAAAAGACAACAGTGTAGATAAAAGCTTGTCGGCCACATCAAGCGTGACGAAAAGCCCGTTATTCTACGCATCGATCATGCTTGGAATTGTAGGCTTGATAGGAGCCACTGTCGGGCACCGTGCGAAGCAAAAGCGAAACTACCGCAAGGAACGGAGAGCGTTTCGAATGTTTGCTCAGATGAACGCCCACGCGTGCAGCCCTCGTCCAGCCCCGTCTTCGCTGAGGGCGTTAGCTTCTCGACCTGAAAGCCATAGCATTATAATTTTATAACTATATTCTTTCATACCTAAGACAAGCTCTGAAGTTTGTTGGCCATGCATATGCAACGCAAACACCGCATTGATATGCATGGCTGCTGGAACCGCTGCTGCCTGAATGTTAAAGTCACGTAAGAGTGAGCTTTTGATCTCTGCTTGGCCACACCATAAAATCTATAACGGTGGCTTATTTGACAACTGTCGGCTTATACGGACAAACTTCCGCTGTCTGCGATGCTATCACTGGTATTCCTCATCGGCTTTCCAGCATACACATTCGACAAATATGATATCCATTCATCATCTTCAAACGCTGATAGCTCAGCTTCCTTAAGTCGCTCCGTTGTTAACGTGACACTTGAGCAGTAGTAAATTCATGATGCTTCAAAACCAGTTCCTCTTGTCACGATGCCAGCCTCTTTAAGCCTTTTTTCGCCTTGTAGATTCCTGCAGTAACATTGAGGGGATCACCTTTCTGCACGGTTCATCACCCGATTTATTGTGTTCGTGTTCCGGTGACAAAGAACCATACATCTTGTGTAGCAGAAAATTCTTAAGACAGCGGCGCTGCTAGCAGCAGCTCCTCAAAACACAATACCAGTATTTCCGGGGACATCAAACCTTTTGCTGTACATTACCGCTCAAACTCTGAAACACCTCCATCTAAAGACCAGCACCAGTGCTCTCTATTGAAAGATTATCAAGCCCAAGCACAGCTGGGAGTACGTCAGCTGAATCATCCGCTTTGCCCTGACTAGTCGAGGATTTCGCTGTGACGGCCTACTCGCTCCGACAACAAGACAGCTTTCACAGCAGACTGACCTGCGAGCAATAGGCCTGCAAGCAATCGACAAGAAGGAAACAATCTAGTGACTCACATCGTGCACTCTTGTTCTCTTGTTTGGTGCCTGAGCATCACTGACCTCGTTAGTGGCGTCCTCGATCTTCAAACTATTGTATACGACCGTATCGTAATATTCATGTCATGCGTTTCCTGGTCATTGCAAACGTGTGAAATACTCACAAAGTCCTGCCACCTCGCAACCTTGTCACCTTAGAAGCGTCAATTCAGTACATTTACCTTTTAATTAACATAGACCAGATATACTGCTTTCATTGACGCCTGTAGAAACATGCCAATAGAGGAGAAAAGGTTACCACTTGGAGCTGTTCGTACGACGAATGGAGACGTTGTCGTACCTGCATCACATCGTGCTGACGGATCAATGCGTAAACCAATTCGTATTCGCCAGGGTTACACTCCTCAGGATGAGGTGCCCAAGTACAAAACCGTCATGCAGCGTGTACGCATGCCATATAATATTGCCATCAATTTGGAGGTAGATTGAACCGATGATAGAATACTCTGTATCTTGTGTTTGATGGTAACAGCGACGCGAGAAAGTGATGGACAAAGCTGTAGAGATAAAAGCTGATAGCAATGCTGCTATCGAGGAGCTCTTAATGGACAAATTGTCCTTGGAACAGAAAAAGATGAGAACTCCAGCGACCAAAGAGCCGCGATTCTGTAACAGTGACAAAGCTCTTTACGAAGAAAAAATGAAAGATCATGGGCAGGTGGTAATGAATAAGAGAACCGAGACAACAGCAATATCAGAAGAACTTGCAGGAGATCAGCAGCAGCGTCAACTGAAGCAACAGCTGACGCAAATCAACAAGCAGCTTAAGAAGATTGCAAAACTGGAAAACATGGAGAAAGTTTTGCTCTCGAAGCAAGAAAAACAGAAGATTGCACAGAAGACACAGCTTCAGCAGCAACGACACGAAATCATTGCCGAGCTAAACGGGGCCACCGTGACGAAAAGCAGCAGCAGCATGGCCACAGGGTCACGTCCAAAAGTCGTAATCAGTCTCTAGGCTGTCGAACAAAATGTTTGCGCCAATACTGCTTCGATGCTGTACATGGTGCATGCACGCACGGAGAACGAAGCGGGGTTTGCAGCTTTGCAAAAGGTACGGAATCAGCAAACGGTGGGTCGAAACAATGCTCAATTCGGTGTTATGCTTGTACTGGTAGGTTACTTTTCCTTGGCTACATGCAAACACCGAGATACAACAAATTACTCTGGAAACAACGTACAATGATGATCTTCATTCCGTCATTTGTATTTGTTTTGTTGCTCGATTACGAAGAATCAATATGCAGGACTCTAATGCACCTAAGCTAATCCATATCGAAACAAAAAGGAATCTCCAGAGAGTGAAAGACACCGCCGTTATACATTTGAGGAAGAAAACACGCAAGCTTGTTGTTTATAAACGCTTGCCTTGTCTGATAGTGACGATGCCGGGACGTACTTACCTCTTCATAACATGGGGTGTTGTGTAAAAGCGATTATGACGGTGGTACAGCAGGAGATACAACATCCGTCATGTTGTCCATCCAACCCCACGCGATAACCGAAATGCGGCCTTCTTCTCGCACTGGCACGTCCTGAAGAATGCCGTGGCGCCAAAGCACGTTCGTTTCCTTCGAAAAGGCGTAGACGCATCCATCCGGCTGCGGCATGCTCACTACGGTCTTCGTCTCACCATGTTCAAAGGCGGCATCACGAGTGGCACCGAACGAGATCCCGACTGTGAAGTTCTGGATAGCAGCAATGTGAGGCTTTACAGCTGCAGCGTCGAAATGGAATGGTTTCCACTGCGAAGTGTTCTCGTACCAGTTAAACCGGGTTGCCTTGATGTCCAGACTGAAGAATTTTTGCAGCCGATCCGTGACAAAGTCGAATGTGCGACACATGGCCTTCCAACTGGAGTGGTCGTCTACAATGAGGTGCGTACCATCAATCTTATTGTTGCCGTGCCACATCTTTAGCAACCGCTCGCGTGGGATGCCGCAGTTTTCCAACTCGTGCACAAGCTTCGTGTATAGTTCTCCCTTTTTAAAATCGCTAAAGAGGTTAGGCACGAGCACTATATCGCGAGTAGTAAGCGGCGTAGAAAATTTATCGTCTTTGCAGCCCAGGTCGTACGTAATACGCATATCCACCGGCTTGGTCATCGGTTCAAAGCTTTCAGTGTTTTTCTTGGTGGCCTGACGTCGGTTGTTTTTTGTCGTTTTCTTGGCTTTCGTGTCGTTCTTGTCGCTATCCTTGCCGTGCTCATCAACATCACTAGCTACGTCTCGTTCAGCTTTGTCACTCTTTACCTTATAGACCTTGCCCTTGTCATTCTTCACTTGTTTTTCTTTGTCATTCTTCACTTTCATGCCTTTCTTAGTATATTTCTTCTCCTGTTTTTCTCCACGTACAGAAACTACAGCAGCAGTTTCTTCCTCCTCCATCTTCTTCTCCTCTTCCTCTGTAGCTTTTACATTGGGCGCTATCACTTCGTGGTTCTTGCTGCACTCGTAGCCAAATTTGCATCTTCCTGTCTTCCAAAAGTACTGACACAACTGCTCGTCATGGATAAACTTGCAACCAGCTCGTGTACATTTTTTCTTGTGCATAAATGTACGGCAAACTGTCTTAAAAAGACCTGCTTTGTCTTCAAAATGTATCGAAACTGTCTTGTTTTGCTGCGTCTTTTTCTTCTTCATCTTCTTCTTTTCTGTCTGAGGAGAAAAGACCTCATTGGACAATACCACCGACGGAATTGCAACTTCTTCCATTGTCGTCATTGTTAATTTCTTTACAAGTGGTATTGGGTGGTTGGGTGGTCCATAATGCATTGTGTTTACCTTTAGCACTTTATATAAAAAATTGAATATAAAAAAAGTCAAATGAAAGTTGAAGTTTATGCCATAAAAGCAAATAAATAAGTATCTAGATACGCCGTGTGTAGGATTTAATGAACAGCATAGTAATGATACGGTGCTAGAAACATCTGCATACCAATCTGAAGCGTTGTATAGGCCACCTATCATTATTTAATGCATCAGATGAACGTCCACGAACCATTTGATTCATTGCAATTGTGTGTTTTTTCCTTAGCAAAAAAATTCGACACTTTATACAGATTTTGCTTCTTACAGAAAAAAAAGCACTTTATTGATAACGTATTCGATTACCGGTATCGTACCGTAAGTCGTATTTTACATGAAAATGTGCCGAAAGACATGATACTGTTTTTAAATTAACGTGTGAGGACCCTAACTACTATCATGAATGGGGTACCAACGTGTGCAGCAATTGCGACATCGTGATTCCTAAGAGTTCAAACCGTGAGTTATTGACGTACTAAGAAAAAAAGTCAAAATATCGGACAAAATCCAGTCACTACAATATCAAAACACGATAGTAATAATAATCCAGTTATTGATTTACTTTTTTCTGATAAAGTATTTAACCGGTATCTTATCAACATACCAAAAGGCATCGTCTTCAAATGGCTGGAAAGCAGAATACCGACGATAGCTCAGTGCGTCCTCGTGTGGACGCATCCAGCATTCGTCTTGCGTACGTCATCATTCGTGACTTTTAACTACACTTTTTCTATCTGTGTCTTGCTGCTGTATATTTGTATATATGTGCTCTAACTATACTATGCTCTTTCTTGACCTTCAGATCTCTTCGGACATCCACCGATGCATCATCATCCACTACTGCCCCTACACGTCGACCTAAGTTCGTTCCAAAGGCTGTTAAGCGTCGTACAGCTGTAGAAACTTGTGAAAATGGCGTTAGCTCTGAACCACAGCGCACACAGGATACAAAGCTACCTTTGACCGGTGCTGGAGCGCTCAAACGCGATAACAGAGGACGCGGTGAGTACAGTCGTCGAGGAGGTCGAGGAGGTCGTGGAGGAGAACGCGGGTCGAGGTCGAGGTCGAGGTCGGGGTGTGTTGCCTACCGGAAAAGTTGCGTTTGTTGGCACACTTTCAGGTGGATCTTCGTATAATGGGGGTACCACCAGTACTCCTGCTCCACGTTCTGCCGATTACTCAGCTGCTGGTGGCACAGGAATTAGTGTACTGGACGATGAGGAAATGCCTGGAGGCAAAATGCCGAAGATGGAAGTCGAGGAAGTATGGCCACCAGTGATTAAGTCGATAATGGAGCCAATGAGTTTGCCGATTGCGCGGCCGCCTGAGCCAGAGAGCGCCGGTGCTGTTTTCTGTGACGCCACCGGCGACATTGTGGCCTCGGACGACTCGCTTTTCTTTGTTCAACTGCCAACGACATTGCCGCTTCCAAATGCTGTCACAAAATTTACTCATACGGAAGATGGAGTGATGGAGAGTGCGGACGACTTGAAGGACCAAGAAGCTCAGCGGTCCAAAGAGAGTAAAACGACAGATGAGTCCCCGTACGTACATGTGTTGTATTCCAGTAGCGCAGAATGTTTTGTGGTTTAACTATTGCGACTGTATGCTGCTATTCCGAACTGATAGTGATGACGGAGTGTTTGACCATTCGATTGAGGCAGCGCCGAGCGGGTTCATCGGCAAGGTCCGATAACTTTAGTTTCTATCGTTCTTCCGTTGCTTACTAAGATTTGATGCTGCTGTGTTTGCGTTGCTGTCGACAGATTTGCGTCCACAAGTCAGGCAAGATGGTGCTACTGCTTGGTGGTAAGCAATTTGAGGTGGCAGCGGCCCCAACGCCATCCTTTTGTGAGGAGGTTTACGCCGTTAACACAACCGAAAAGCAGTTGAGCATTCTGGGTAATATTGAGCGCCATCTTGTGGTGACTCCGGACTTTGATGTGTTGCTGCATTAGCAGGCTTTCTGCTCGAGAGGGTGGGTAGCTTTAGTAAAAGCTAGTATATTTGCATCTACTTGCAATAATAGAAGACACAAGTACGTAGTTGCTTCTGACGTTTGCTGAAGTTTCTCAACATCTGTCCACTGTCACGTTCGTAACGTTCCGTTCCGGTGGCTACATGCTCGTGGCCTCGTGGCATAACAGAAATAAGCGAAGGGTTTAATGCGATGGCATTTGCGTTTCAGTGCAATTCCCTGACAGCGTTACAAAAATCAACGCCTTCAAAGCACAACAAGTGAGAGCTGCTTGGTGAACATAACTAACAAAAGGTTTTAGAGAATAAAAAGAGAGTACCATGTGTATCCTGCGTACTACGAGTTAAAAGAAGTGGCGTGCCTACACGCCACTTATCGACTTGCTTTACGCCTCGTCCTGGCAAACTAACCTAGCGGATTTACCGCGCACACTATATGCCGTTAGCCACCGATTCAAGCTGCATGCAACTTGGAATCAGCGAGGGAAAGTGAGAAAGCACCTAGTGACAATTAGCTATTCATCGTCATCGTCATCATCATCGTCATCATCATCATCGTGCTCCTCCTCTTCTTGCTCCTCCACAGCGCCGTTTGAGTTGTAGACGTCCATCTGGTGCTGGTACTTCGCCTTGGCTTCCTCATGCATTTTCTGGTATTTGAGGCGCTTTTTGTCAGGCAACGCTCGCCATTTCTCTGCCAAAAGTGTAGCAATTTCCGTGATCTTCTTGTTTGGGTTTTCATCACGTGTTTCTTGACGAATGTCATTACAAAAGAAAAAGTAGGCAGACAATGCACGTTTTGGAGCGTTTGGATCTTTTTTCTTGCGTGAACCCTTGGTGGTTTCAAACGATGGATCCGGGACATAATCTTCCTTTTCTTCCAAGTATCTTCGTTTGTCAGCAGCTGCCAACTCATCGTATGGCTATAGATAAGAAAGATAGGATAAGCAATGGTAGAGAATCATCATCAGAATCAGACCCAGACACACAAAGGAACAAGTCAAAAACGACAGAAACTACCAAGAGTCTCGGTTCTCTTACCCGACGCTCTTCATCCGTAATCTTCTTCCAACGGCGTCCAATCTCACTTGAAATTTCAAGAAATTGTAGCTCCGGCATCTCTTTTTTCACCGTATCGCGTATATCGTTACTAAAAAACATAAAGGCCGAGAGCGCACGTTTCGGAGCGTTCTTGTCTTTTTTCTTACGAGGTTTGCGCGTATGATCACCATCCACTTTTTTAGGACGTCCAACTGCTTTACGTGCCATGCTCTTTGTTAATGTCTTAGGAACAACTGAATACTACAATCAATAATCTTTGCTTGGATTTGATCAGAAGAACAACAACTAAAGCAAGAGGGACGTATGGTTGGTTGACTCGGCGCAGGGGAGATCTGGAACTGGCTTGGCTTCAAAGGCGAGCAGGCGGGAAAAACTCCCTAATAGAAAAACCATGAGCCAATTGGCGTTTGAAAAACCCCGTCAAGTTATTATGGACAAGTCTTAGCTCGATACTCTCGAGTAAGTACGAAATCGAACCTCTTCTACACAGCTTCAAGATCGATCATTCATTCATTCATTGCAGGATGTCTCGATGATTATCGATTGTCCGTTTACTGTCTTACTAGTGTTAGTCGACTTGTTTTTACATAAAATGTAAGAGCTTTTGCCTGTAACTAACTAACTGTTTACTCAATTTGTAGGTCAACATATTGGACTATTGATACTTTCTGTATTACCACTCGTCATCCAGATATTTCTTCTCTCGATGTTGTCCCAATGGTCAAGTGCTCACTGCTTTAATTCAAGCTTTATCTTGCCACGGTAAAGCTGTTTGATCTATTATACGAACAGCATTTGAAATGTGCTTTGATGGTAACGTCAAGTAGGACTCGTAGTGTTTTTTTTCAACAAGAGCGATACACTATCAAAAGCTCGAATTGATACAATCGTCGCATAGCAATAGAAATTGATTAATGTGACAATGCCATTGTCAGACCCTCGCTGTTATTAGTAATGCGCAAACAAGAGTGTACTTTTATTATTCACAATATACAAATAAGCACAAGACAAAGAGGAAGATTTCTAGCAGAAAATGAATTGACGGTAACAAAGGTGGCGTTCTGTAGCCCGAGAAATGTGAGTGAAATTGAAGAGTAGACATCTTTCCAACCATTGGGGTAGGACTGAACTGTTCCAAGTCGAGGTCATACATTCATTCATTACCTTGGACTAAATGGTCTGTCTGATGCGAATACTTGGTCAAATCACAGCGCTCGATACCATTGGTGGAATCTTAGCTTTCGAGCGTTTTTATTGGCTGCTAAGATTGTGTGGTAAAATTCATCTGAGACCAAGACAAGTTACGTACAGGCCATCAAATTCAGTATCCTGATCATTTTAACACGTGTATTTAAGACGACGACAATAATATTGTGCTGCTAATTTTTCCAAATTAAATATCTGGGATTATTATTAAAAAAAGGTATTTCTGTACTAAAACGTTAGTTGTAAAGAAAGAACCGACTGATTTGTTTTTCTATTTTTCTTTACTTCCGACTAGAAGACGGTATGCAGATAATACCCGTTTTTGTTAACATCGATTGAACCGGATACTTTGGATTCAGTTGGATCCTGAGACTTTTTTTTAGCGCAGAAACTAATGGATTTCTATCTATCTACTTACTACTACTACTGCTGCTGCTGCTCTTGAGAGATTGTTTCTTGAATAACGAATATATAACATTAAGTTTTGAATACTTGAATAATACATTCCCTTTATAAGTGCTGTCTTTGCCAGTTGATGGCTGCTTTATATGTCAGAGGTGGTTGGTTGCATCATCCCAGAGTGGCATACAAAGTCCCTAATATAGGAGACTACCTTGTAGCCTGCGTATTAAGTTTATACTTCATTTCAGTATACATTCTTAAAGGGTTATTTCAAGCTGACACAAAAACGAGGTTGTCTATTAAACAACCAAGTGAGCTTCTCAGGTTTCAGTAGCATTTTTTCACGAGAAGTCAGACGAGTGGCTGGCTACCGGCTCTTGATCTTCTTGTCTTGATTTCTTCTAGTTAGACCAAATGTTGACACGATTAATACCAATGGATGCTACTACTCCAGTAAATGCTTCTCATCCACAATCTACAACTACTACACGAGGTTTAAAAAAACGAAAGGTGAATAATAATAACAACGTACCTACTAGACCTATAATCTGTGCCTCGATGCGTGATACAATTGGAGCTATAGCACGTTGTTCACTTTGTGGCTTTAACGCTTCTACTCTTGATCATTTACTCACTCACGTACGTGAGTCACATGATCGTACTTGTGAACCAAAATCGTCACAAATGGGTACGTCCTCATGTGTCAACGAATGACACTTGATCGAAAGACATACATTTCGACAAGTAGAAGTGGTTTTCTGACACTTTTCTCTCTCTCTCTTTCTCTCTTGTTTGTTTGTATGTATATGTTTGTTGTAGCATTGTCACTTCACGTGGCACAAATGGTAGTGCAGCACGTACTGGATCAGGCAGCGCTGGGAGGCGCCACGAGCGCGTGGCTTGGAGCCATGCAGCAGCACTTTGCAGCAGCGGCCGAAATGACGGCGGCTCTCGAACGGACCGATGCACACGGCGTTGCAACAGCAATTCGCAGGCTACATGGCATGACACAAACGGGATATGAGAAGACGCTACTGACTACGTTGCAACAGGCGGTGCAGATCTTGCTCCAGTCGCCGCTTGCACTTTTGACTGGAGATACCACGCCAGTTCCATTAGTAACGATCAAGCAGGAAGGTTCAACACAGGAATCAGAAGTAGCATCAATAATGGCAGAAAACAGAGCAGTAAAGCAGAAGGGAAAAGATTCTAGCATTCACGAGGCAGAGGCGGCGCAGGCGCTTACAGGACTGCGAGCTGTAGCTTCTAGCGCCACGACAACGACGATGTCAACTGCGACGACAAGTGCGCATGCCACTACGGCTTCGTCCACACGGCCGCCGGCTGTACCAAAGTCGTCTCCTATGGTATCACAAGCTCCTCTTCCGTCGATCACGCTCGGATCACCGTTGACCATTACTGCACCACCAATGCAACTGAGCAGTCCCCATTTTGATTCATCAGAGCTGTTTGCCAACAGTACTGCTCGGTCTCCTGGGAATCCTTCATCGTTACCGAGTCTCTTTGCGCGGAGTCTGCTGGCGCCGTTGGCATCTCCGTCCAACGTGGCGGACCCTGGAGACCGGTTGGCTCTAGGTGTGGCTGGAATGGGTTACCACAATCCTATGATTGTTACGGACCAACGCATGTCACTGGGTTCTACCATTCGACCAGATACTTCACCGGCATCTCTCACTCCAATGTACTACTCATCCTTCCCGGTGACTTCTAATAGCGTTAGTACTGGCAATGCTGCTACAAACCGACAGACATCAACATCTTCCGTCAAGCGCAAGAGCATTACGTCGAAGCAGCTTAGTGTAAGGTGCGATGCCGAAGTTGCGGCTGCTCGTGCCGCCGCGTCTACAGCGGTAGCAGCAGATATGAGTGGACTGACACCGCTGGGTCCAATATCTGTGCCTGGTACGCCCAATACGCCTGCAACTCGCAAAGCTACTCCTCGTCGTTGGACCAAAGAAGAAGATGACGCACTGCGCTCCGCTGTCGAAAGCCATCGCGAGAAAAACTGGAAGGCTATTGCCGCTCAAGTGCCTGGTCGCAACCACACACAGTGTCTTCAGCGGTGGACTAAAGTGCTGGCGCCAGGCCTCGTGAAGGGCCATTGGTCTTCACATGAGGATGAGCTTTTACGACGTCTTGTGGCAACGGAGCAGAAGAACTGGGGCGATGTAGCCTCAAAGATTCCGGGTCGCACATCGAAACAATGCCGAGAACGCTGGCATAACCATTTGGACCCGCAGATCGTGCGGGGCGCGTACTCACCTGAAGAAGACCGGCTGATCCTAGAGGCGCAAGCGCGACTGGGCAATCGTTGGTCTGTTATTGCAGCAATGCTACCGGGACGAACTGAAGATGCTGTCAAGATTCGCTGGAAGTCGCACTGTCGCGTGTGGCGAGCGCGAAAGTATCTGCGGAAGAACCCGAACAGCGATGTGGATATGTTAAGTGAGCCGGCGCAAACGCCAAGAACACCATTAGTGCCTTCCACTGGAGACTTTAAGTGGCCGGTACCACTTTTGAGTGGCAAATCAAAAGAGCAAGAATTGAGCGCCGAAACTGTTGGCGAAGAGTAAGACGCTATATGGACATTCGTGGGCGTAACTTCAACAATATGAACCTGTACTGTATCTACTATTCAATGTGATTTGTCTTAAGAAGTTTGTTTGACTGACAAATGATTAGCATTATACGATTGGCTGACAATAAAACCACTTTGATTCGAATGACGGTGCGCTACCTAAATGAGCTCTTAGCTATTCACTTACTTTAAGCAGAAAGATTGATGCCCTTATTCCATGAATTGAATCTCTAACGATTTATTTGTGTATTCATGTATGTCTTCTTTATAATGAATGCATAGATCTCATCTCTAGAATTTGCGTTACAGGCGACATACCTCGACAGCTCTGTCGACCGTGCAAGTCTCGCTGTTCTCCGTGAAATTGGGGTCTCCATTGCCAAATTTACGTCTAGCTCTATATTACAAAGCAACGTCGAATCTGCGGTGGATGTGACAGCCGACGAGGAGCTTCAGAACGAGCATTCAAGTGCCACCGACATTGTCTATAAGGTCGTCACAGGCCGCGTGTTTTTAGACGTACGCGACTCGGCCGACTGCTGGGTGCGCTGTGCTTTAACAGAGGGCATCAAAGTTTCGTTAGGCATTGGCACGCTACGCCGCTTCGTGCCCATTGTTGGCAACGCTGTGCAAGTCCTGGAAAAGAGCAATGGAACACGACGTCTTCTGGCTCGCTACGCTCGACCGGCGGACGCTGCTAGTCATTCAATGCAGGTAGGTGCCAATAAAAGCCGTGAGCTCGTGTGTGAGCTGTGCCATCTGTTTTACACGATGGAGTGGATGACTGGCACTGGTGGCGCCATGAGTCTTCGTTACGGGGAACGCATCTACGTGACTCCGTCGGGTGTCCCCAAGGAGCGTCTGCAGCCGGAGGATCTGTACGTGCTAGACTTGGACGGCAATATTCTCTCGAGCCCGATGACTAAGAAAACTCTTAAGCTTTCGGACTGCGCGCCTCTATTTTTAATCGCACACAAGATTCACAAGGCTGCCGTAGTGATACACAGCCACGGCATCACATGCAACTTGGCTACTGCGCTTTGTGATGGTAAGAGTGAGCTTTGCATCTCGTACCAGGAAATGATCAAGGGCATTGCCGGTCATGGGTACGCAGATACGCTGGTCGTTCCTATAATCGACAACGCGCCGAAGGAGTCAGCGCTGGCTGAACCGATTGCTCGTACCATGAAGGCGTATCCTGATACACCTGCTGTGTTAGTTCGTCGTCACGGCCTCTTCGTATGGGGTGACTCGTGGAAAGCTGCCAAACGCCATGCTGAGTGCCTCCACTACCTGTTTGAGACTGTAATCGAGATGTACAAGCTTAATTTGGACTACACAATCCCCCCCGCTGTTTGCATCATCAACCAATGGCGACTCTCATAAGCGACCGCGCGTCGATGAAACGACTGACAGCGAGCTTAGCATGGCCGAAAAACACAAGGTGGTTATGCTGGATATTGAAGGAACGACGACGCCAATTACTTTCGTCCATGATATTTTGTTTCCATATGTGGTGAACCATATTGCTCGCTTCTTGGAGCAAACGTGGGATTTGCCCGACACGAAAGCGGATGTGGCGGCTTTGATGGACCAGCATAAGAAGGACCAGGTCGATGGAGCAAGCCCCCCGACACTGGATGAGCAACACGGCAAGGAGAAGCTCATCGATAGTCTCGCCGCTTACGTGAAGTGGAACGTTGTGGCAGACCGCAAAATTGGATCTCTCAAACAATTGCAAGGCCATATGTGGCTTCAAGGCTACGAAAACGGTGAGCTCAAGGCACTTGTGTACGATGATGTTCCTCCGTGTCTTAAGCGTCTGCGCGCCCGTGGTGTGCGGATCGGTATCTACTCATCCGGCTCACGCCAGGCCCAGAAGCTGCTTTTTCAATATTCAGACAAAGGCGATTTGCGCGAGTACGTGACCGTCTACTTCGATACGAAGATTGGCCATAAACGTGAAGTTGGAAGTTACAAGGAAATTGTTGAGAATTTTGGTGTCGACAATGCCAAGGATGTGCTCTTTGTCACGGACGTGATCGAAGAGGCTCAGGCGGCTGAAGAGGCTGGACTTGACACTGTGTTGTCGGTGCGTCCGGGGAACACGCCACTGCCAAAGTCCCACCACTTTCCCACAATTTGCTCCTTTAGTGAGCTGTAAGGTGCAACAGTTGTCCTAATGCAGAGCTAAGGTAGGTCTCCGTAATGTTAGTTCCGCATCATGTGTTGAGCACTACTGTGTCGTCTTCCCGTCGAACTTCAGCTACGTATTAATTGAAGTGGTTGTTAAGACAAAAATCATTGCTCGGGTCGGACTCAGGGCTTGGAGCTTAAGCCGATTGCAGCAGCCGTTGTGTCGTCGTGCTTTGACAGCACTAGCCCGGCGATGTTTGGCTTGCAATAATGTCGCCATGTTCTCTGTCTCCCAAAAAAGTCTAGTCAGCATTCACAGTCCTTACGGCTTTTTCGACTATTACATTATCAGCAACTCCATGGTCGAATATTGCGGCCGTGGTCACTTGCATCATGGACTCGCTTAGGATTTACGGCAGCTCGCATCTGCGCCGTCGTGCACAGCTCCTTCCTTGGAGCAAGTCCGTAATAAGGTAGTCGCCGACCTTGCTGAGCGTTACGCAAATAGCCAATGCTGGGACATCATGATCTGACTAGCCACAGGGTCCGTGTCCACCTCGATTGTCTTGTTCTCGTCCTCCACGCAGGACAAAGACCGTGTACTTAATTCCACGTAGACGGCAATGGATATGACTTAGGCAAGTTGCCACTGACTCGAGCACCATCATGTCGACGTTGACCACACGATCTCCTTCAAATAATGCAGTTCTTCTTTAGCATGACGCTGGAGACCGAGCACAGCAGACGCGCATGGGCTGCAATAGCTCCAATTTTTAGCCCCTCAATAGAGCAACCTTGAAGCTTGCCTGAGTCCGAGCATCAGCAGGACCCGGCAGCTTGGATGATGTCCGCATTAAAAACTCGGACGTAGAAACAGCCACCTCCAGCTTAACGGAGCCCAACACATCGGTACCCGACGACTCCAGAGACTCGCTTGCCAAGCCGTTGGACTGCGTAAGAAGCACCCTTCTTCAGCGACAAAATGCGATAGGACAGGCGATCTCGTTTGTTTGCACATACGTCAGCAGTGACACCTTCGCCAATATACTTCTTTTCTCAAATACACTCCAGCATGCTTTGTTAGTATCTACGGTTGAGATTAAAAACCACAACCTCTTTGCGTGTATAAAACCCGAGTGAAATTCTGCTGTTGGCTCGTCATTATACCAAATCATGTCGTATAAGGTTTTACAGGATATAGGACATAACAGATTTGCACATCCAGGAATTTATCCTTCCGCTTTTCTGAACTTAATTCCACTTTTCTAAACTCCATTCGAAGAGCTTAACCTCATTCATTCATCAAAGCTAAAAGCATGCGACTTCTTTGTGCAACCACGTGCGTTGCTATGACCGCATGTCGACTGAGTGTTTCTTCACAAGCAAGGTCGCTGGACACAATATCCAGGTCAGATCCATTTCCAGCTGGCACGACGAGGTCCTTGAGGGCACACCAACTTGCACAGGAGACAATCAAGCTGAAGACTATTGCTGGGCTCGAAGCGAACGCTAGCGCATTGAATTTGGATAGTGAGCATGAAGTTGCACAAGCTATTGAAGAGGAGAGGACTAACCTTCCTTTTGAATCTGACACGCTCCTGAAAGTAAGCGCTGACCTCAAGAACTTGTTTGCAAAACACCATCCATCACAGGAGAATACAAAGAATCTTCACGATGTGATCGACAAGTATGTCCACAAACCAAACTTGGACCATTGGAAGTCGTATATGGGAAACTTCAAGAACAGTGTTTCCGAAAGTAATGGAGCTGTGTTTTACGATGCCCTTATCTATTACTTTGGGACTAAAGGTTTCGAGAAAATCATGGAAACTTTAAACATCCAGAAAAATGGTTTGGAAACAAAACCAACGGAAGAACAAAGTGGGTGGCTGGCAGGTGATATATCGCCTGAAAAGATTTTTACGGACTTTTTGATGCTAAATACGAAAACTGTTGATGAAATCTTGAATGCCCCGTTGCTTGTACATTGGATTGACTACCTACAATGGTTCAAGCAAAAACACCCAAACGACAAAACCACGATTTATGGAACACTGAAAAAAGTCCGCAACAAAGACATAACCACTGCAACTGCGGAGGTGGACCCTGCTCTAGCACTGAACAATATATATGAGCAGTGGCTGATTACTGACGCAACACCGGGCAAAGTTCTCGAGAGATTGCAGTTGACGGATGAATATAAAGACATTAAAGTTTTTCTGGCCAGCCCAGATTTCCCGCAATGGTCTGCGTACATGCAACACTACAACGCAAGACACCCGGAGAGTCGAACGACGCTTTTTGAAACGTTTAGTAACACTTATAATAGCAATCAAATAGGATGGTATCTGGATTTCCTAAAGAATGACTGGATGACAAAGGAATTGAGCCCAGCGGATGTCTATGTTTCTTTGGAGCTTGACAAAGTCGACCCTGCTCGTGTTTTAGTGCTGCAGCTAGACACCTGGATAGATTATATTAACTGGTATTGCAAAAACACAGAAGCTAAGCTGGCAGACGTGCTTTCTGATTCGATGTATAACTACCCCAAATTGGTGGATATGGCATTTACTGGGCGAGAGCATCCATTTATGGGATTAACACGGAATGTGCTAGAAGAGCTTATGGAAATTTGGTATCGAAAAGACACGTCTCCAACTAACCTTTTCATACTTTTCGGTCTTGACCAGGTCAAAGTCAATATTTTTGAAGAGCCTCGTTTCAGTTTTTGGTTGAAATATGCAGAAAAATTCAAGCGAAATAAAGCGAACGAGAGAAAGAAACTGGCATTGAAGAAGAAAAATGGCACAGATCAAAACCCTACTGCTTTGTCGAGATTGAAGACTTTCTATAGTATGGAAGATCTCGTGGACATGTATCAGCAGGCAGATCCCAACAAATTGCAGCCTCTTACACAAAACTTTCGCATACAATTCAGTTACGCGCTGGACAGAACCAATGTAGATCACGTGGAGATAATTAAAAAATTGGTACCGGCAACAGTTTTTGATAGAATGATGGGCGTCAAGCAGAAGCATTCGGCGGGAGGGACTGATAGCGATACCCCTGCAAAAAAAAGCAAGCAATCGATGATCTCGACTGATAGCCAAACCTCTTCGACGAAGAAGTAACGTTTGGGGAGATCGACTGATAGCCAGACCCCTCCGAAAAAGAGGAAGACTGCACCCTGAATATGCACGTTATCGCGGACACTGGGGACGTGGTTTATATTCTTCGGATCCTGGATGTTTTCTATTCGCGATAGAAGTGTTGTGGATGGAATTCAGTGATCTCAACCGAAATGATAAGACAGCAATAACGGAATGAAAGTCAGTTACGTCAGACATTTACAATGCAAGTTGAGAGTACATAAAGTGTTGATATATCAGTGAGATTTATTTTCTACTATGCATTAGCGTATACTTTTCTTGTTTTGCCCGTTGGCTTTTCAAACGCATTGATCAAATATATGCACTACTGTCATTAGCTCTGAATTACTACCTTACTATAATGCTGCAACTGTGCACGACCGGGAAGCACACAAAAAGCGGTTATTGACACTTGTTTGTTATATAAATTGTAAAGAAATTCTTGGACAATGAACGGATTTCACTCTGATTTGTGATCGTTTAGAACCCATTAATTCGTGCGGTATTATTTAGCTACGTATTAATACGTAAAGGGTAGTCTCGGTTTTACTACCACAATATTAGAGCAATCTATAGCTGTTCTCTCTAATTGTCAGCAAACTATCGCTCTCTAATCCATTTATAGTCTCCGTTGGTTAGTTATGTCGTCTTGCGAACAGCTCACTAGCTCCTCAGATGTAGCGTCAATATGCCCAAGTACTACAGAATTACAAGTAGAAATGTCGAACTCGACACTCGCACTTCTCACATCGCCTGAACTTCCTTCCTCATCTCCTAGTGATACTCTAAACATTGCCACAACGGCGCTGCATCTGGAATGCTACGCATCGGAGCTTTTACTGTGGCTACAGCGCTCAAAATCAACATCTCTGGTGGATGAATCGCTCTTCTTTTTTGAGACACGGTATCCTGAGCTTTTGGATGATTTGCCGCTTCTTTTCACGTGGCTCTCCCTCTTCCTAGTGCAGTATGAGGACTCGTCCGGGATCGACGCCATGCAGCAGCTCGATAGCTCTGGTGACATGGTGACAGTTGCAGAGCAATTTTCGCTCAAGAGTACGCTCACGCTTCTCTATTGGAAGCACGAGGGGGAGCGGCATCAGCTCGCTGAGCAGAGAGCAGAAGCAGTAGAGACAGACGTCAGCAGCAGATCAAGGACAGCGTTTCAGGACGAGAAGGAGCTGCTGCAATGGGTACTCCAGCATAGAAAAATATCACTTACAAGACAAGACATTATTAACCACGTGCTGGAACAGTATCCAGTCTTTGCAGCATCAAAGAGCGCAGCGGCGCTCAAAGTCTGGACGTCAAGGTTTTTGAAAAAGCACATCCAGCCGCAGTCATTGTTGGTGTCGGCAACAATGACTGCGGCTGGATGTGCTTTCTCGGCAAATAATGCGACAGTGCCCGAAGTGATTCCTTATGTACGTCAGGCTGCTGCTGAGACGGAGTTGGTGTCGGTGGAAACGTGTCAGAGGGCGTCAGATGTGGTGCAGGTCGAGCCGGTGGAGAGTCCTATACCGCTGCAGTCCCAATGTGCGATCGAAATTCAAAAGAACATGGTGGATAAAGTTATTGAAAACGGCACGATGAAGGTCCAACATACGGGCAAACGGCGTTCGTGTTCAGGACGCTACACGCTGTTCTCAAACGAGTTCAAGCTGCATGCAGTAAATATGCTGGAAGACGGTAAAAGTATTTCAGAAGTGGCAAAAGAGCTGGGACTGAAGAGTTCCAACTGCTTACATTATTGGAGAAGTATCCGTGACAAACTAGTCACGTCAGAGCGGAAACGATTTCGTTTAGCTGGAGGAGGACGACGTAGTAGTTGTACGTTTGAGGATGAGCTGCTCACGTGGGTCAGCCAGCGTCATCAACGAGGACAAGGTCAGAGTTACAAAAGAATGAGGAAAGGAAGCTGTTGCTTGTATGTCATTTTTGGGCTAACTTGCTTCTGCTTTCGTGATAGGTACCGATGTCAATGCTGTTTTAGAGTACATGAGGCAGTATCGCTCTTCCTTTACAGAAGGTAAAAAGGAGCCGACACTACGCAAGTGGATTCTGCGCTTTTTTAAACGCTGTTGGCGAGCTCCATTTACATCTATGGACTCACAGGATGCCGACAAAGCGTATATCTTTGTTTAACATGGTCTTCATGTAGAGTCGAACATCACTGTGTTTGCCTGGAAACGTCGAGCCTTTCTCAGTTGAGGAAGCAGGACTAGTTGATGGAATGTCATTATGATTAGAAACGATACCAGTTGGACAATTTTTCAATCGTGAATCAGCATTCATTGACACGCGACTACCATTGTGTGCCGGTGACAGCATTGCAAGAGCAACCAACAACAACGTATACCCATGTCAAGTTAAGTCGGCTCTAGATACCTGTAGAGTACTTTCCTCAATTCGAGAACAACATTTGCATAAACTTGATACTCTATTCAATTGTCGCAATGTAGTCGAATGTCTACTTGGCAGCAGCACTAGCAACAAATTCCTTTGCCAAGTGCTTTACGTGCTCAACACGATTTTCATCACCTTGCTCCTGCTCAAATTGCAAGAATTTCTTGAACAAAAACTTCATCTTCTTAGCTGAAAATTCCATAGCCAATAGCCGCTCAAACAGCGCGCGCACAAGAACAATGTCTCCAAACTTGATTTCCTTATCCAGATACACATTCCACAGATCGATTCGCTTCGGGTAGTTGGCCAAGATGCCCTCAAAGATCGTGCGAGCCTTGTCCAGTTCAGCCTGTTCGTACAAAAGCTGCCCGTACTTAAGAATCACCGGCAAGTGCTTGTGAGCAGCCAGACTTTTCAGACTCCGCTGCAAGGTCTCCGCAGCGTCAGAGAACTGCTTTTCACCAACCAGATACTGCAACGAGCGAATCCAAGCTTGTTTACTTGTACGAAACTTCTTTTGCATCGTAGTAAGCGTCTGTTTCACGTCCTCGTGCTCCTCTGCACGAGCATACAAATCCACCAAATGAAGATACACACGCTTAGGATGGTTCACAAGCAAAGCACTTTTAAATACGCGCAAGAAGCTCGCATCATCCCCAAAATCATGCTCTAGGTTCAAGTATGCTACCCACACATTCAGTTTCTCCATTTCGTCACGGAATGACACAGCCGACGTCGCACGAATTGCAACATCGCGAGCTAAGTCAACTTCCGTTAGAGACACGTAGAAGGCCATATACTGAATCCACAGGTAGGAACTCTGTGGCGATACAGCTAAAAGACGCTCGTAGTCACTCGCATTCTGAGGAATCTCCTCATTACTCGCAAGAGCCTTCTCCCGCAGTGCCACCCACTCATCGCTCTGCAGACGCTTCTGTTTGCCAACCTTGGACAAGCTCAGATTGTCCTTCTCGTCATCATCTTCCTCATCAGAAGACGACGCGCCGTCGTCCTTCAATTCTGTTTTGTTGCTTAGCGCGCTCGAAAATCCGTCCCAGCTAAACTCAACTGGAGCCACACGGCTCTCATCCTCGTCTTTACTTAAGAGCTTGCCGTCACCCAGGCCAGATTCCATTGCCACTGACTTCGACTTTTTGAAAAACGCTTCCTTTTCGTCGAATTCCATTCGCTCAGCCTCCTCCTCATCAAGGTCTTCATCCTCCTCTTCTTCTTCGTCAGATTCGTCATCAGAGCTGCTCTCTTCATCCGCAAAATATGACGGCTTTAGTCCAAATGAAACGCGACGATTTTCAACCTTCAGCACCTTCGCTTTGACATAATCGCCCTGCGAGAAGATCTGATCCAGCGGCTGCATCACTTTCTCGTCTGCAATCTCCGAAATGTGGCACAGACCACTAATCGTGCTCTTCTCAATACGAACGAAAACGCCATATGCTTGCACCTTCGTGATCGTGCCCTTGATCGTCAAACCCTCCTTTAGATCGTTCCACTTGAGCATTGACACATCCTCGGAGACAACCGACGTCTTCAAACTGAGCTCTAGACCACGGTCCGACTTCTTCGTAACTCGCCCAGCCACCAGCTTGCCAACAGGAAATCCAGTCTGTGGGTCCTTCACAAAGTCGTCACTGAGGTCACGGAGCATCACACGCGCTGTCGTATGACGGTCTAGACGCACGAAACATCCGCTTGTTGTAGTAGTGGCTACAATCCCAGGCACCAAGTCACCTATGTTGCGTTCTACTGGCTTGGACGTCTTCGTAGCGTATTCTGACGGATTCTCCAGCGCATCTGAACGTAGAGACAAGTCAATATGGCTACTGGTGGTTGATAACACAACACAGCGCACGACCCTACCAGCTCCAAATTGAGCCAGCTCTAGCATCTTATTTTCCCATTCAGCCAAAAGCTCAGTGATGCACACACGACCAAATGAGTGAGCACCAAGCTGCACCATGATCGAAGGTGGGCGAATGGCCGATTTTTTGGTCGAGATCACACCGTTCACAATAGAGCCGGGCTTGATACCGGTCTTGTCTCGGGCTGAGCGAATCATGGACAAGTCTACTACCTTCTTATTATCGTTAACTTGGAGCACAAAGCACTTTATACGCTTGCCCACAGGAAATTCGTCCTGGAACGCACGCACCACTTTCACATCGTCCGACACCTCAATACAGCTTAAAGTGCCCGTAACATTGCTGCTAAGTTTGACAATCAAGTGGTCCATGGACTGCTCCAAAACAACACCATGAACGGGGTTGCCCTCCTTCAGTAATGCACGACCCGCGCTGCCTTCTAGCCAATCTGGGCGAGCAAATCGCTGCACGTCGTTCACCTTTTCGTCACCAGCCAAATCCTCTGTACGCAGCGACAGCTGCAGGTCATGAAATTTTGCCGGGTTTTCCTCGCTGACAGCCTTGTGTTTGTTGGCTCCCTTCACAGTGACGGCGATCACACGACCTCTAATTGTGGTATTGACAGAGTACCTGTCAAAAGGGTGCGAGTGGCCGGATACATCATCGATGTCGTCGACATCAACAATAGACACGAGCGCGCGGACTCTACCGATCTTCTTCTTGCCTGTCGCCAAGCAAATCTCCATCGAATTCTCGGAAATGCCCGCAATGATGCCGGTCAGCGTGTTGCCAAGCACGAGATCAGCCTGCGTGTACTTAGGCAACTTGGCCGATAACTTGTGTGAGACATTCTTCAATTTTGCCACTAACTTTTCTTCCTCTAGCGCCAGTAAAACCAAATCATCAAAGGGCGTCGAGTTCGAGCCACTCTTCAGCAAAGATTGCACAACACGACACTCTAGAGATGCACCTACCTCAATGCCAAGTTGGCTACTTGTCTGCGACGGACACCAAAAAGTCGCACAGCTCCACTACGCCAAACTGCAGCAGATCAGAGTTGTGTGGATCAGGGAAAGATACTACTACGTAGTTCTCCGTAGAACCAACAACTAGCACAGTAGCATCTATCTTTTCCCCTGCCTTAATACGCTGCTTTTGCTTACGTGAACGCTTCAATCCATTCTTAACAAGCAGCTCGTCATCTGTGCCGTAGTACACATTCTTGCTGAAATCGTAGTCCGTCAGCAGCAGCTTAGCAGTGTCACCCTCATTCCATTCATTGGTTTCCGTTGTCACCGTAGGCACTAACACCGTTACAGTCTCGTCATCCCTTTCCAAGGCAAACACAGCACCATATGGACGGACACCAACAAACTCCGCCTTCTCAGTCTTGCCAAGATAAAACGAAGTTTTCGTCACTGTAGCAGCATTACGTACACAAGCCTGCTCACAAAGGTATGCCTGAAAAAAGGCTGGACGAACCTTGTTGGTACTGTTCGTAGACTGCACAAATTTGCGCTGTTGAAACCCAACAATGAACTGCTTGTTTTCCTTGTCTACCTTCTCAATGCAGCATGTCACAGTTTCACCGATTTCAAACATACCTTCTTCAATTCGCGCGACAAATTGCTCCTTCAAAAACCCTTTGGGGGCTACTGCAACGAGATTGTTCAGAAACTTCACAAACACACCCTTTAAGACGTTTACGGACGCTACGTAACCAATAAGCACAGCGTTTTCCTGCACGTCTTCGAAAGTGCGTGGCAAAATAGCATTGTGTGAGGCAAACGCAAGCAATAATGGTTTCTTTGAGAGCGTCAGAACGCCATCAGATTCCTCAGAAACAACGAGTAACGGCTCCGCAATTACATCACCAGCGCTAAAGCGCTTCACAACCTTGTCCACTAGTAAGGTGTTGCGTGGAAAGTCCGTTAGCTGCACGAACGGGAGCACACCCTCCATCCCGTCATTCGTCTGCAAGCGAAAACACGTAGACTCCACGTTCGTAATCTTAACATTAGTGATCGTTGTTCCCACCAGCTTTGTAGCACTATCCGGGGCGGTAATCGGTTTATTACCCAAGCTGTTTGACGTCGTATCGAATGACAGCATTAACCGCTTCTTACCAACATCACAACGAGTGACGCGGGCCTTCACGACTTGACCAATGACATAAGCTTCCTCGAGATTGTCGATACCAGCTTGCTGAAGTACAGCCATGGGCACCAGGCCGTACACGTTATTGTAAAAGGTGACAATGATGCCATACTCAGCAAACTTTGTGATGAAACCGTGAGCAATGCGACCCATCGTTGCTTCCTCGAATGAGCTCAGAACGGGAAGCTCCGAAGCCAGCAGTCCCGACTTCATGGTCAAGAACGTCTTTTTCGCCTCATGATCCACGTGCAGGACACGAGCGCTCACGGTCTTACCAACCTTGTACTTACCATTGCTATTGGCTTTCTTGCTCAGCAACAAGGTCGTCATATGCTGCGGAGTCACTAGGCCGCGCACACCCTCACTTATCTCCATCAAAATACCCCACGGCTCAGCGGACAGAATCTTGCCGCTGACCTTGGTACCAGGCTTAAGGTCCTGGTGACGCAGCACAGTCTGCGCAATTAAGTGTTCCTTGCAGCTTACGCTTACAACAGCGTCGAAAGGCGAAAAGCCCAGCACACGGCACTTGATGTTTGAGCCCACAGTAAACTTCTTGTCGAGTTTGTCAACGCGCTTGTCTGAGACGTTGGAAATGTGCACATACCCAGGACCAAAAGCTTTCCACCTTGTATTTGTGGCCGATTCCTTCATCTCGCTCGCATCTTCCATCGTAGCGTCCTCGTTCTTGCTCCTCAGCGACAGCAACATTCCAACTCCAGCGTCAATCCGCTCGATGGTGGCCTCTTCAATGATGTCGCCCACCGAGAAAGGAGCCTGTGGTACCTGTAAGTGAACCACATGCGGAGCCATGGATAGCGTGATCTGCTTGGCGACATAGTCGATAGTCACGATACGTGCACGAGCTTTCATTCCTTTGCGGTAGGATTCTTCCCAGCCTCGCTCACAAGGCAGACTCATATGATTCTGCTCAACTGTCGCAGTGAAAAAGGTGAGGAACGTGACACTTAGGCCGTTCTCCAGCACATCTTCGATGCGGACGTTGAGCAACATACCCGGCAAGAGTTGTTTCAGTGTAAACGAGTCACCGCGTGTGACCGCCTTAAGAACCTGGTTGCGATCGATGGTCACAGTGGCCGTGTTGGTGTGTTTGTTCATTGACAGCACACTGACGAGTAAATGTTGACCTCTGTGCATCAATTTTACAAGTTCCTCACGGGGCACAAAGGCATGCACGCCACGGATGCCAACGTTCACAATAGCACCGTGGTCCTCAACAGACGACACTGTGGCAAACAGCATTGCGCCTTTAATTAAGCTGCTAGGGCTAAGCTCTGCTTGAACAAGCGACGTGCGGAGCGATAATTGAATCTGTTTGTGCTTGTTTGCCTTGGACGTGGCTAACACAATGCAGGGCACGAATTGACCAATATAAAAAATCGAGCTAAGCTTTGGAATCTCTTGATCGTCATCTTGGTATGTTTTCTTCTGCTGGTTTTGTTGATGTTGTAAATGCTCACGAAATTCATCGGAACACTCGGCTAGAGTGACTGTCCCATTGAGTTTATTAGGTAAACTAATGATCAACTCGTGCTTCTCAGTCATAATCTGACGTATACAACCCAAGAGTACCATTCCTTTCCGTATTGTCTTAAATGTCAATCCAATGGCCTTCGTCCGAATGAAATTATCGTTCTTCTTGTGATTCTTTTCCGTGTCGAATGACGTTGTTTTCATCTTTTTCTTCTTTTTTGGTAGTTGATCTGGTGTTGATATTGTAACCAGTCCACGTTTACCAAATAACGACTCAACTGGTGCTGTCATAGGAGGAGAAGCTGAAGGAGGAGGAGTCGATACATTTGATCGTTTAGGTTTCTTACCACGTGGAAAACACGCTAATGGTGCTGCTGATGATGATGATGATGATAATGATGTTGTTGTTGCCATTGTGATTGCACGATAAACAAGATCAAACTATTGATTGAGAAGAAGATGGACACTGGTGTGATTGCTTCGTGATGATGGATGGATGAGAGTGGAAGAGATACTTAAGTACAAGTTAATACTGAAGTCTTCGTAAAGCTTTACAAGAGTATTTATACAAAAATTATAGACTACTTTATTGAGATAGAGAGATGAAGTGACCGAAAAAACAGAGGTGTACCGTCGGTAGTACCGATATGAATAAACCTGAAAAGAAAAAAAGAACTGATCACCGATCAGTATGAACGTATCAGTTTTTGCGGTAATGATTGGTATCTGCTTGATCCCACTCTAAGAGACAGGGCGACATGAAATAGCGACTTGACTGTCGCTTTTTTTCTACTACAGACGAGTCAGTGACGTCGCACTCGTCGCATCGGAAACGTTGACAAAAAAAGACCGACAGTTTTGCATACTGGTATTACAAAAGCAGTTTTTGGCTAAGAGATGGCCAAGTAAAGATTGAAGCTCATACGAGATAATTCCAGATCTAATGGTGCTCACACGTTATGAATTGTGGTTCATGTGAATGGGTCATTTTTGATGTTCCACTTTCACGAAGGAAGTTCAAGATATTAGATCCACCAAGTTGATGATGGTGGTGACTTGATTGTGGCAGGCAATCCGATACACGTTATCACTTGAGTCAAGAAAAGTTCAGTTCAAAGCATTCTTTACGATACATAACGTTGATTAATATCATCTCAGTCCATCAGGCATGTAGAAGAAACATTACACGTTCATTGTACAATCGTATGGATGTATGTTGTGTGTTCAATTGGTTCAAATTTTATTCTTCATGTGATATAAATACCTACGTATGTCCCCCTCCTTCCACTCGAAAGCGATCGCTAGAGGTCGCCTTCATTGTCGTACCTCCTAGGTTTGCTGTGGTCTTGTAGTGTTCTAACAGGTGATACTAATGCGGTCGTAATACACAGTCAAGCTCCGAAAAGGTCTCCCCTGTCGAAGGGTCTAGCAACCAGGCGCTAAGCTCACACGGAAACTCCTCGTCATCGCCCTCGACCGCAACTTTGACAAGTGTGACGCTCACAACAGCACGTATAACCTGCTTGCCAATGTCAAGGGCAAGCAGCTCCGCTCGTGGCATCTTGGTCTGCTCCTCTGCAAGCACCATGGATGACTTGAGCCTTAACACGGCGTATTTGCCCGTAAAGGCCTTGGGAAACTGGAATCGGCATACGGGGCATGTGCTACGGCTCTGCAGCCAAGACGAGATGCATGGATAGTGGAATGAGTGGCCACATGGCAGCGTTACGTGGCCATCGCACGGATTCTCACTCATGCAAATGACGCACTTGCCCTTGTGCATCTCGGCAGCCTCCTGACTCTCGAGCTCATCTAGAATAGTCTGGTCTGCCGGTGACGAGCTCTTGAGCCGCGGCGACACGTAGCGCATCATAAACCGCACCCACGTCGTAGACCGAAACATCCCGAGCACGTCGCGCGTAATAGCGTTCGCCGGCGCATGGTACTGGACTTCGACACGCACCGTGATGTCCATGGAAAAAGTGTTTAGCTATGACTTGCCCGTAATGGGTGTGTACAATGTGTGAGGATTGGTGATAATGGTGGTTCCTGCTCAGGTAAAGTCTCTTTGCTCTATCTGGAAAAGCAAAAGTGAGCGAGAGATCAGCAGCGAGCAATGACAGGCAGACAAGAAGACGTCTCCGCATCTATTTCCTACCGTCTAGGCTATGCCCGCCCACGAGCAGTTTCGATGATCCCAACTATAGGCAGGCGCTGAGTGTGGGTGTAGACGGTAACAACGCATGTACATGTATGTATACACTTGTCTATCCTCCCTCTTTTCACGCCGTTGCTGATAGCAAGGTTTGGCTGAGCCGCCCAGAGCGCTGCGTGGACACTGCAATCTATAATGGACGACTTGAAAACGAGCAATCACTCAACAAAGTCTACAGCAGATTCAGTGACAAGCAACAGCTAATTACAAGTCACGAGGCCGAAAACCGGCGCCGCAAGGTTTGCTACAAACACCTTGCGTTTCTACGTGCGACCAGCCAACGGATGGAAGACAATGGATACAGCCGTACACAAATTGCGCTGCAATTGCCTGGTCAATCTTGTTGCTTCCCGCAGATCGGGCACGCTGGCGGACAAGTCAATGACAGTAAAAGCGCTGCAGCTACAGCTTCTCATGTGCTGTAGGCAGTAAGTTGATCGAAGCCTGTTGGATAATGCTTGCTAAGGAGCAGATATTAACGGGCTCCTCATGGCTAATGCAGCCATTTTGATCAACTTTTCTGCAACCAGTCAGTTACCTGCTGGCTTGTGTTGCTTAATCCGTTTTGGTTACTTTGACAATGCGACGCTGACATTCAAGTTGAGCTCGCGGCTCCGCTTGATTTGAGACATTCGTCCTACGCCTGACCTGTGACAGTCTCAAAGTGCAAGGAATGTTGGGTCTAATACTGCAACAAGTTGCGTCGCCGTTGTTTTAGTCGAAGACGGCAAAAAGCATCATGCTGGGTCGCAAGCGAGAGACCAGGCCAAGTGTGTCAATACGAAAAGCCTTCCCGTAGCTTTTGACTTGACTTGAAGTCGACACTACTTAGTGTGGAACGGATGATGATGCACGGGACAGGTACAGAAAGCCGGGTAACGTCCGACCGAGCAATAGCAGTTTAAGCGCGGCTTCCCGCTGTGCAAATATCATTCCATCACATTACTCATTTATGACGTTTACTTACATGTCGTGCAGGCGGTGACAAGCTCTGCGAAAGCAGTGATCACCACTCTTCTGCAGTCACACCACGATGTAATAATTTCTAAGCCGGGTCGACACCACATCATCCTTCTGCTTATTTCTGCTTTCGCTCGCTGGTACGCACAGAACTGTGTCATGAGAGCAAATCCCAGATCAGGCAACAGCGTGGCATGAGTGGTGACCACGTGCACTACTGCACACCACCAGATACGGTTTCGGCGATGCGCTTCACTTGCTGCGCTCGCACACATGGACGGCCTACATGATCCAACAATATATTGCAAGAAGATGTTAGCTCGTGGACACTTTTGTGCGCCGACGACTTCGATGATCGTCTGTCGACTTCACCGCTTGAACGATTTAGTGCTGTTCCATGGACTAACGGTGCGCATACCGTGGTCTCGTATGATGCCAAGCAGCAATAACGAACGGAAAAACTCAAAAGGCGCCCACTGTTGCGAACAACATCCGGAATCTACCTCGACTCCGGCATGTAAATTCACTTAGGGCATTTCAGGCGTCCCCGTCAATCATAATGTTGAAATCGACAATCTGTTCATCTTCTATCTATCTCTTAGTGAGGCAGAAACCAGAGATGCTCTCGTCAATATTCTGAGAGCAAGTGGAGTGAGTTGGAGACAGACAGCACTGTTAAGTACTCAAGAGCTTTGCTAACAAACCGTTGTTGCATTCATATTGCTGATGCCATCTCGCTCGTAATGCGAGCTCGTTGTACCTTGCCACTGCTTATGTCAGGTTTAAGCGATAATGACAATCCGAAAGCAGCATTGCAACGACGATATGACCTGCAGTATCGTCGTTGCAATGTTGCTTTCGGATTGTCGAACAGCCGGTGAAGTACGTAGAGCTGCATAATGTTAGCGATTGGTATTGTCGTAGCTACGACTATGGCTTGGTAGTATCTGAGTACGAGTGATAATTTTCTAGCTGCAATGAGGAGCCGCTTTGATTCTCGACGCCTAGTATTGAGACAGGGCTGCTGCAATTGAAGCACATCTTGCCGACTGACACGATGGCCGCTCACAAGCTGGTGCGGACTCTGAACACTGCAAGGCCGTGAAGACCCTTTAAGTGCTTGTTGCCATGGCGCATCGCCATCAATCCGTCAGCTGAACGACTCAAAGAAGAAAAGGTTCTACGCGCTAAGTAGTAGACGAAGCGTCTTTGCGAGAGTACGGACCTGCGCGTACGCGCCTCCGACTGTGTAACGAAGTCTTAAGACCTTATACAAGCAAATTGTTATTGACACGTCTAGAAACGACGGAGTTCGATGAAAACAGCAACAAGAAGCAGCCATTTTGCTAACCACTTGGCCGCCGTATTGCTTTCATTGCTCATCGCGGGAATTTTGCATCGAACGTCGTCGTCTTTTGTAACATTACTGCCAGCGACAGAAGGCATGGTCGACAGACTCATATAGCTGGAGTTATTGTCGGTGCTTAGTGGTCTTTGCGAAGAATTGCAGCCAATTGAGCCACAAAAAGCTTGAGCGCCCGCAAAGATGACAGACGCACCACCGCTATCATTGAGTGCTAGTGTGTTATCATTCAGCTCATTGTCCCTGGATCCATTGTTGCCAGCCTGTTGAACTGCAGTGCCAATGTTGACGATCGTGATAGTGTTGCCAATATTAATACCATCCAACTTTGTCAGGACGCTGGACTGTGCGTTCTGGTCGCTGGCGCTTTGATTGCTCCTGTCGTTACTGTCTTTAATATCATCTTTCGCATCGTCGTCGTGGTCTTTTTCATCGGCATCCTTTTCATTGCCGTCATCTTTGTCATCGTCATCATCGTCGTCGTCATCATCGTCGTTGTCATCATCGTCATTGTTATTATCTCCAAAATCATATTCGTCATCGCTTTCATGGTCGTGATCCTGTCTGTGGCCGTGACGGTTGTGAGTATGCATACTTTCCTGAGCATGATCGATTGAACCCACTAAGTCTTGAAGCGGATGCCACCGATGATCTCTTTCTTGAAGATGAGACCCTGTTTGGTCCCCGAACATTCCATAGTATCTACCTCGCAGGCTCCTTTTATCATATGCTGTCTCCTCAACATAACCATTCAAACCATTGCTATTGCTGGGCTGAACAAAGAAATTGGAACTCACATGAGTGGTAGCTATTACAACCAGAGCTACCGTATATGTTGCTCGTACCATCACTGCGATTCCAAAACACAGCTACGCCCTGACAGTGACAATTCTCAAAAGAATTGATGGATTTCGTCACGCCATAAAACTTCTCGCCAATTTAGCTCACATCAATCACGAATCAAATCCAATGCAATTTCACTCTAAGACTTGCGGCAAGCATCAATCAAACGTACCGTGCCTAACAACGATGATTAAGCAGTTGTTTCCATTACAGCGTGGAATCATCAGATGTCTCCGACGAGCTCAACGAGTTTTCACGTGCGCGTTTGTTGGTGGGGCTAGCGAGCGGCCGTTCAACCGGTGGCCTTCCGTACTCGCCGATGGCATATGACTTTTTCATGCCCGCCATGCACCGACGCATTGCGATTTTATGATCCACAATGGGAAACGGGTATTCTTTTCCAATAAGGCAGCCTGCAGCGTGTTGGACAGTCATGGGTGCTTTCCAAGGTTCATAAATATACTTTACTGGCATCTTGCTCAGTGCCGGCACGTATTTGCGGATAAATAGACCGTCGGGGTCCCATTTCTTTCCAAACGTTGACGGGGAGTATACCCGGAAGTAGGCTGTGAAAAAATAGCTACTGCTAAGCCAAAGCCAGTTGCCAGCGTTGATACTCCAGTCGTGATCGATAAGACGTTCTTGGAAAACTTCAAGTCCACGGACCCAAGAAATATATAAATCGCCACGAGTAAGAAAGCATGCAACCGAGTGACGCGCTAGATGATGCATCCAACCTTCTTCCTTTAGCTGGATCATGATGGCGTCGATCCAAGGGAAACCAGTCTGGCCATCTGTCCATGCCTTAAATTGTGAGCGCGCAAGCTTGTCGTCATCAGTCATATCTTCTTCCTTTTCTGGAATTTTGTGCCATCTCCAGTCAATTTGCAAGCATGTAGAGCTTTCCTCCATTTTGTCAAAATATCGATTGGCAAGACCGTGGCAATGAAAGAATTCACGCCAAAGAAGCTGGCCGTCCAAGCTCACAGGTGTAGCTGATATTGCCTTGGCGTGGTGTTTTTGAATGCCTCGTACGTGGTGCAAGAATGTTCGTGGACTGATGCAACCAAAATATAAGAACGGACTTAGCGATGTTGTCGACGCAGAAGGTGTCGTCTGTGCTGGAGACGTCTTAGGCTTCTCGAACTTAACCACACGACCTTCATTACGACAGTAAGTACGGAGAATGCTCAGCGCTATTTGCTCACCGCCGTAGATAAATGGGTGCCGCTCGGGTACATCGTAGCCAAATTCCGTCACCTCGGGGATTGTAAACTGCTGCTCAGAGCCCGCAATTTCTTTAAGGTACTTTGCTATGTCTTTGGAGTCGTCTATCTCTTCTTCGTCTTCCGCCTTTTCCTCCTTCGCGTCTGACTGCAGCACGTCTCTGTCCGACTTGACACGATTCGTCTCGTAGTCCACAACTTGCTGATACAATTCGCTTGGCAAGAAAGCAGGAGCAGGTACTTGTTCCGGCGTCGGTAGAGGCTTTGGAGGCATTGGCTGCATGGCCAATGCCCGCAGAAAAGCCGTGTACGTTTTAGGTGGCTCTCCTCCGTTCTCTGCAATAACGTTATTCAAGTCGTAAAGCGTGTATCCGTGCGTGACTTGTGTTTTGATACCCAGTCGTATCGCCAAAGCCACTGCACGTTTGTCTCGGTCAATAGCAAAAGGTTCACTTGCTGCGTCAAAGAACAGGTGCGTGATGCGCCAGGCTGGTAACAATCTCCGTAATACTTGTAAGCCGTCTCCTCGAGCAACCACAAGACGCGATCCACGAGCCGCCAATGCGTCGGCCAAGTCCGATACGCTCTCGAGCATAAATTGAAAGCGATTTACACCGCATAACATGATTTTGGGACGATGCACAATGTAAAGCGGGATAAAGACCACTTGGCATGCCAAAACCTCCTTTATCACCTTTTCTTGCTGTTGTTTCACCAGTTCTAATGCTTCAGTGAGCGCGAGATTATCGTGAAGACGAAGATCACGTCGGAACCACATGAGAATTCGTACGACATCTTTGTTGTTACTACTATCATCAACGCTATATTCAAGGTCACTTATCATTGGGTCTTTCAAACTGCTGATGGATAATGTTGGCTCTACTATTGGCTCTAGAGGTGGCTCTATTGGTAGCTCAAGTGATAAAGTATCGGTTGAAATCATGTCTGCATCAAGCTCAAGACGAGCATCAATGGCTGCATGGACGGCATCTAGAGTAGCAGCATCCAATGTTGCTTCTGGAAGCTCCGAGTCCCCATCGGCAACGTCCAGTAAAGAAGACGCAAAGTTCACAAGATCAGCATCGTCGAGATCCTGGGAAGGCGTTTGGCGATCCGCCATTTTGAACGTTTGAAAATGATTGATCGACGATTGGTTGATAAGGGACAGTGCATACCTTTTGATTCGTAGAAAACATTCGATTAGAAAATCTTTATATGTAGTCTACGGAATCTCGTGATAGGTCTGATCCATGTCTGACTTGAGTCTTTGCGGATTCCCAGCATGGGGAGAGAAGAGCTCAGCTTCTTCCAAGAACGTTCCTTGCACCACGTTCTTTTTGCTCTTAAAGTGTGCAAAAACACCCAAGCCAATGAGGGCAAGAGGCACACCAAGATCTGCAACTAGCCACATGGTACGAGCACCATAATGCTCATAAAAGTACCCACCAATAAGTGTCCCCATGCCACGTGCAAGACCATTTTGTACTGCATTAAGTACACCCATAATAGTTCCTTGACAACCAGGAGAAGCTGCTGAATAGACGTACTGTGTACATGCTGCCCATGCTAATCCATATGTAACACCATGTAAAAATTCAAAAGGAATAGCACCCCATGCATTAGTCATGACAGCATAATAAGAGACGCGAAGAGCGTAACCTATTATGGACAGCAGCAATACATTAACAATACCAAATCGATTGATAATTTTATGAGAGTAGAAGAAGGCCGGTAATTCGGAAGCTGTTTCACACATGATGGCAATGCCTACAATTTGTGCATTCTTACCCGAAAGATTATACAAGTTCAAGGTAAGAAAGCTAGACAATACACCATACATAAGCCCCATGAGGAATACCACATTTAACAGCACAAGTACATCCCCCATTTTGTAAATCATCCGAGCGTTTTCCATGAACGATGGCGGCTTTACTGCGCCATACTCCAAAACAGCATCATTTAACAATCGACTGTGCTGCATTGGAGGAATCGTACGCAGTACAAGCAGAGACGTTAGACCGAGTCCCAAGCTGACGTTAAATGACCACGAGATGCCAGCAACGGCCACGATAAGACCCGTGACATAGGCACCGAGACCGTAACCGAGCGCACCAAATAACCGCTGCTTGCCGTATTCACCGCCGACTTTGTCTAAGAGGTTGAGAACTGTGTGATCCAGCAACGATCCAGTCGGGGCCACCTGGAAGTTAGACACTATAATGACAACGACCATCCAGTCAAAAGACCAGTAGAAGAAGCGCACCGCGAACATGAGCAATGCACCCGTAATAATGCAGACAATATGGATGAGTCGTTGGTTTTCAATACGGTCAGCAACGACGCCCCAGAACGGAGGGGCCAGCATAGTGCACAAGCAAGGCAACGTTTGCAAGAAGCCAATCTGCACTTTGGTGAATTGTGCCATCTGCTGGTAGAATATGCTCAGGAAGTTACTCTGCGCAGACGTCCACGCGTTGCTGATGAGGTACATGAGTTTGGGCTGCCATAGCGAATGCTCAGTCTGCACTGTAGCTACCAGTGGCGTCTTGCAATTGAACTCTGCCTGACACATGATTTCAACGTCTCAACCTTTTGTGTCGGTTACAGCCTTTTGATAGCCTAAGGCCCGCACTAGAACTTGAAGACTGAGGTCCAGCGCAGAGTAATCCTTAATGTCCGTTCACGTTGTAATGCACCAGCAGCCGCAAATTGGTGTGAAAGAGATTTTTGGCCAAGTGTTTCTCCTTAATACTTTACTCCTTCGTCTATTTTCTGTTTATGTCTTGTTTTCACTTCAAATGAGGACGGATGTCATGTTATTAAGGTTTTGCTCATCATTGTGTCACGGTGGACTTGTCAAACATTTCTTTTCACCAATCATAATCTTATCAAGCTCAAATTCAGCTCTTCAATTGGCTAATCAGGTTAAACCGTTCAATCCGTCACACGTCACATAATTTTGGACGTCAAACGTGTATCATCCCATGACGTTGACTGGTCTCAAGCAGCTTCTGGCTGACAATAGCCGCGTTATTGTATTGGATGGTGGCTTAGCCACTGAATTGGAAAAAGATTCGCGTGTTGATCTGAGCGCCAATTGTTTATGGTCAGCATCTTTGTTGCTCAACAGAAATGCGCATTTACACCAAGTGGTCGTGAATGCTCACAAGACCTACTTTCTTGCAGGGGCGGACGTAGCAACAACTGCCAGTTACCAGGCATCAATAGACGGTTTTAAGCGTGAGGGCATAACGGCCATTGAAGACGTTGAGAAGCTCTATGCCAAGAGCATCAACCTTGGCGTGCAAGCGCGTGACGCTGCGTGGAACGAATCGGGCCAGAGCCAACGTATCAAGCCTCTCGTGGGCGCCAGTATCGGCTGCTACGGCGCTGCACTGGCCGACGGATCGGTAAATAGATCTTAAAGTTGCATCAAGAAGATGAGAAAGCAGTGACTTACAAACTTGGCTGGCTGTTGACAGGAATACCGCGGTGACTACAACAAGAGCAAGCAGCAGCTCGTAGCATGGCACAAGCATCGTTTCGCCTTTTTCACTAACTACGCGCCCGTTGACTTTCTTATCTGCGAGACAATTCCGTGTCTTGTGGAGGTAGAGGCGTTCGTAGACCTGTTGAATGAATTCCCGGCTGCCCACGCCATTTTTGCAGTGGCCTGTCGCAATGGAACGGAACTTAACAGCGGTGAGCCAATTGCTCGTGTTTCTGAGATTTTGTACAAACTCAAGAACAAGTCACAGTTGCTTGCGGTTGGCATCAACTGCACGCCGCCACAATACGTAGAAAGCCTGCTGCGCGAGTTGAAGTGTCCTTGGCCTAAGGTAGTTTATCCAAATAGCGGAGAAGGCTGGGATAGCGTCAACAAGAAGTGGCTTTCGGCTACTAATAGTGGTGGCCCGAGCTCCTGGGAAGAGTTACTGCCCAAATGGTACAATGCCGGCGCGCGCTTCTTCGGCGGCTGCTGCCGAACGTCCCCAGATGACATTCGTGCTATTCGCGGATACTTCGAACGCCGTCAGCTGCTGTAAACAACACCCGTCGCCTGTGATCAAATTATTGTCTCAAGTCTTTTAGATAGTTGAGAGCTGTTGAGACTGTCAGTAGGTTGTAGGCAAATCGATCTTGGAGGGTACAACGTTACCGTTTGTAATCGGGAAATAGCTAAAATGAATGAGACTTTGGCTCATTGCTGCTTGAATGCTTCGTCAATTGGCAGTGGCTGATGTGGTTACATGACGTAGTGGTGACAACAAATATGTACGTATTTTTCATTATTCTTGCCGCACTTGCTGCGAGGAAGCAAAGGTATACGACTACCAACGGGTAAATCCTGGGGTCTTCCTCATTATCAAATTGCTTGACTTTACTACCGAATCTTTACCTGAAAATGGACAGAAGTCATCCACGTGAGAATCTCGTGCATGACGTGCACAACAGGATATAGCATAATAGACATTTCCTTTATCGTATTGAGAGTTTGGAATGTATAGCACTGCCTTCATTTCTGTGAGCATTATGTTCGATTGCATTCATCATGAATCAAGTCTTTTCTACTGCTTCACCTTACCCGCGATGGTGTCACTCGATGACAAAGCCTAGACCTCTGCTTGATTCCTAGTCAGCGCAATCTCGGCTTTTGGTTCATTACAAAAAAATATCAATCCTGTTAACGGCTTCACACGAGCACGTAACATAATTCTAAAAAAGAGATCTTACTGTCTCGTTTCGTCTATGCCGTATGTAGTCGTTTGACTGTAAACCTGTCTAGCACAACTGTTGTCACTCACTGTCGCCATCCTCAGCTCTTCTGAAGTGGTCGTCGACACCATCAAAAGAAAAGTCCGTAACAGCCTGCTTCGACAAGAAGGCGTTGTCTGTAGCAAACAGCATCGTGGCAACTCACCATTCTGGCCTTATTCCACTGCGTATGTAATTTCATTGGATGATCATTGTCGGCCGGATCAAAAAACATATCCGATTCTCACTACATCGCTGTCTCATAATGTAATCTGTCGATACAAAGCAGCTCTTACCCAGGGGATGGATAAGCCCACAGCGCAAAGCAACGTCCGATACAAAACAGGTTATTGTGTCGATTAACAGCAAAGTAGCAAAGTTGTCCCTCGTGTACCACCACCTCCAGATACGAGAACAGATCAATAACATGGCAATCGTTTGTATGTTTCATTCTATGCTTTGTCTAGCATATAATGGAGCTCATAAACGACCTCTTGTGAGTATCCTTCACACCATTTATTCCGAAAGGGCTTGCATGCGCTAAGACACGGTTAGTCAATAGCTACAACAAAGATTGCAACCAAACGCCATGGGAAAGAGATCAAACCGTTTCTCTGCATGTCACGGACTCACAGGCTTTTAAAGGTGACGACAGTCACGGGAGTATCACGAGATAAAGTGACTTGACACTTGCTTTAAGTATGGTCGTTGTTAGTTATGGCACAATTAGGATGGATGACATTGGACGAGGGAGGGGAAGTCAGTATAGAAAAAAGCATGGCGTCTTTCCATCCTAATTTTAATATCAAGAAAAACCATGTCGAAGGCTTGTCACCCCTAATGCAAATGCTAGCAGGTCGATTTCAACTTCAGTCTATTCGTGCAGCCTCGATATCCTCAGACAATAGAAAGATCTTACGATGTCACGACATTTGCTACCTAAACAATCAAGTAATATCGCCACTTGCTATGGGAGCTCAAGCTTATGTACGCGCTGAGTGCTTGCACGGCATCACATTTGGACTGACGTGGGCAGCTTGTACACAGTACGCATTTTCTGCAGCGCCTTGTGGATGCGAGGGAACTGCCATGGATGTGTTGAGTGCTGTTCAAAATGGTTGGCGCTAGCGTTGGGCAAACTTATTGGTGGATACTTTTACGAACGCTACGGCGCTCGGGTGATGTTGATTGTGACAAGGTTTGGTCTACCCTCTGTCTATGATTAGCATTGGCACATTGCATATTTGAAACATGACGAATTCATTAAGGTGTTGGAGAAGAGTTGTCACAGGAGCAAGCTGCTTTGTTTTTGTCTCATCGTAGTGATGCACAGGGCTTAAAGTCTCTGTTGCATGCACAGAAATTGATCTTGTCTTCACATCTTTTGTACGACTCTGCACAATGAAAATACGTCACAATACGCAGTTCAATAAGATAAATTGACGTGTTGGATGATGGTTTATCATGAACTCGTATCGGAACGGTCTACCCGGTCAGTATAATGAGAGTTGCGCAGCACTCACAGTTGTATTGTGAAGAAAGTCCTGACAACTTTGACGTCTTGAATATTGTTAGGGCCTTCACACTGGGTCGTGTTGACTCCAAACTCTATGGATCACCATTGCCGGTGTCGGCGCTGAAGGAGCTTGACCCACAGAACGCGCTAGACCTCGGTGTGTTTGCGTTTGAGCTGTCGTTCGAACATCAGTCAGCAAGACTAAATGGACAGGTCTCAACGGTAAGACAGACACACGCAGGAGTACTAGAGATTGTGGTGAACGAAGGAAGGGTGTGGCTGCCACCGATCGTCGCCGCGTTGCTATATAAACGGACAAAAGAGCTACCAGACAGCGTTCATGTGCGCTTTGTGCGCTTGGAGAAGGGAAAGTTTGCGAGTCTGCAGCTGAGAGGAAAGGGTTTGGCGATTATGGGTGCTTGAGCGCTCACTCAAGACGCGCACAACACTGACAGAGGGTGACGTACTGTTCATCAGACATCGCAAAGAGGCGGTTGAAAGTGCTTGTATCGGAACTGAAGACCGAGCGAGCTGGTAACCTTATCAACACAATTCTTGGGGTGGATGTGATACCATGTGAAGCTGTGATGAAGGAAAGGAAGCTGAGAAGCGAATGGAAATGAGGCTATGCGTTATAGCACTGGCGCAAGAGTGCAAAGGAGCAGTGAAAAGCAAACAAGATGGCGACTTTGTTGCCCGAACCTTTTGCAAAAGAACGTGAACTGGTGTTTGTGCTCAGAATGCCTGAGTAGCAGGCTAGCAGGCTACGCGCCGGTTCTTGCCCTTGTCTTCGCTGCAAAGCGTTTGAAATCGTCAAGGTACTTACGGGCGAGAACGCGCAGCTATTTCAACTGGCGGCTACATATCCACGTCACCTTTTTGGAGATGAAGCAGTTGAAAAGACGCTGCAAGAAGTCGGCCTAAACGGCCGCCAAGAAGTGCTGTTTGTTGCAAAACTGACTGCAAGTCAAGTCATCCGTGAGCCTGCTACTACGCAAGAAACACTACGTGCAGATCAGGCACCAGTTGCTGGCCTCGAACGCAGCTACCTGATATTTGGGATGAAGCTTGACGGACTAAAAAATGCGGCTTGATGAAAGTATTCATCCCAACTACAACCACCGTGTCTGCTATCCCTGTCGCGTTGTCTGCAGACCAAGAGATTAAGTAGTAGGCTCATTATGCGAGCTATACCAGATGGGCTTCATCGATCGCTGAATATCGAAAAGTGCTGGAGAGGTGTCAGGGTCGTTTGCTTCGCGTTGTGAATTCCTTGTCTGAAATGATGTAAAAGTGATGACAGCGGCGTTATTGCAATCAAATCTTGAGCTCAATGAGCAGCAAAAATAATGCATCAGATATAGCAACAGCACAATGATCGCGTTCAAAAGTAGCGAGGCAATGGGCTCTATTATTGCGTCATCATCGCAGCAAACCAACGCTCTCTACCCTTCGTCCCCCTGCTTTGACGTCTCTATCTCTTTGCTCGCGCAAAACCTGCTGCAGTAGTTTAAACAGATCGTTTCATAGCGCACATGCCGGATCTGTCATCTGCAACATCTCCTCCGTCTAAATGGCGCCCGTTCCGATCGTCTGGACACCGCTGACACTCCTCTTTAGCATTTCTTGTTGGTTGAAATTAAAAACCACAAACCTCTTTGCGTGTATAAAACCCGAGAAAAGCTGAAAGAGAGTGACATTCTGCTGTTGGCTCGTCATTATACCAAATCATGTCGTATAAGGTTTTACAGGATATAGGACATAACAGATTTGCACATCCAGGAATTTATCTCACCCCGCTTTTCTGAACTTAATTCCACTTTTCTAAACTCCATTCGAAGAGCTTAACCTCATTCATTCATCAAAGCTAAAAGCATGCGACTTCTTTGTGCAACCACGTGCGTTGCTATGACCGCATGTCGACTCAGTGTTTCTTCACAAGCAAGGTCGCTGGACACAATATCCAGGTCAGATCCATTTCCAGCTGGCACGACGAGGTCCTTGAGGGCACACCAACTTGCACAGGAGACAATCAAGCTGAAGACTATTGCTGGGCTCGAAGCGAACGCTAGCGCATTGAATTTGGATAGTGAGCATGAAGTTGCACAAGCTATTGAAGAGGAGAGGACTAACCTTCCTTTTGAATCTGACACGCTCCTGAAAGTAAGCGCTGACCTCAAGAACTTGCTTGCAAAACACCATCCATCACAGGAGGATTTGGATACAAAGAATCTTCACGATGTGATCGACAAGTATGTCCACGAACCAAACTTGGACCATTGGAAGTCGTATGTGGGAAACTTCAAGAACAGTGTTTCCGAAAGTAATGGAGCTGTGTTTTACGATGCCCTTATCTATTACTTTGGGACTAAAGGTTTCGAGAAAATCATGGAAACTTTAAACATCCAGAAAAATGGTTGGGAAACAAAACCAATGGAAGAACAAAGTGGGTGGCTGGCAGGTGATATATCGCCTGAAAAGATTTTTACGGACTTTTTGATGCTAAATACGAAAACTGTTGATGAAATCTTGAATGACCCGTTGCTTGTATATTGGATTGACTACCTACAATGGTTCAAACAAAAACACCCAAACGATGAAACCACGATTTATGAAACACTGAAAAAAGTCCGCAACAAAGACATAACCACTGCAACTGCGGAGGTGGATCCTGCTCTAGCACTGAACAATATATATGAGCAGGGGTTGATTACTGACGCAACACCGGGCAAAGTTCTCGAGAGATTGCAGTTGACGGATGAATATAAAGACATTAAAGTTTTTCTGGCCAGCCCAGATTTCCCGCAATGGTCTGCGTACATGCAACACTACAACGCAATACACCCGGAGAGTCGAACGACGCTTTTTGAAACGCTTAGTAACAATTATGATAGCAATCAAATAGAAAGGTATCTGTATTTCCTAAGGAATGACTGGATGACAAAGAAAACGAGCCCAGCGGATGTCTATGTTACTTTGGAGCTTGACAAAGTCGACCCTGCTCGTGTTTTATTGCTGCAGCTAGACACCTGGATAGATTATATTAACTGGTATTGCAAAAACACAAAAGCTAAGCTGGCAGACGTGCTTTCTGATTCGATGTATAACTACCCCAAATTGGTGGATATGGCATATACTGGGCGAGAGCATCCATTTAAGGGATTAACACGGAATGTGCTACAAGAGCTTATGAAAATTTGGTATCGAAAAGACACGTCTCCAACTGAACTTTTCATACATTTCGGTCTTGACCAGGATAAAGTCAATATTTTTGAAAAGCCTTGTTTCAGTCTTTGGTTGAAATATGCAGAAAAATTCAAGCGAAATAAAGCGAAGGAGATAAAAGAACAGGCATTGAAGAAGAAAAATGGCACAGATCAAAACCCTACTGCTTTGTCGAGATTGAAGACTTTCTATAGTATGAAAGATCTCGTGGACATGTATCAGCAGGCAGATCTCAACAAATTGCAGCCTCTTACACAAAAATTTCGCAAACAATTCAGTAACGCGCTGGACAAAACCAATGTAGATCACGTGGAGATAATTAAAAAATTGGTACCGGCAAAATTTTATCATAAAATGATGGGCGTCAAGCAGAAGCGTTTGGCGGGAGGGACTGATAGCGACACCCCTGCAAAAAAAAGCAAGCAATCGATGATCTCGACTGATAGCCAAACCTCTTCAACGAAGAAGAAACGTTTGGGGAGACCGACTGATAGCCAGACCCCTCCGAAAAAGAGGAAGACTGCACCCTGAATATGCACGTTATCGCGGACACTGGGGACGTGGTCTATCTTCTTCGGATCCTGGATGTTTTCTATTCGCGATAGAAGTGTTGTGGATGGAATTCAGTGATCTCAACCGAAATGATAAGACAGCAATAACGGAATGAAAGTCAGTTACGTCAGACATTTACAATGCAAGTTGAGAGTACATAAAGTGTTGATATATCAGTGAGATTTATTTTCTACTATGCATTAGCGTATACTTTTCTTGTTTTGCCCGTTGGCTTTTCAAACGCATTGATCAAATATATGCACTACTGTCATTAGCTCTGAATTACTACCTTACTATAATGCTGCAACTGTGCACGACCGGGAAGCACACAAAAAGCGGTTATTGACACTTGTTTGTTATAAATCGTAAAGAAATTCGGCTATGTTAAAATGTGGGACAATGAACGGATTTCACTCTGATTTGTGATCGTTTAGAACCCATTAATTCGTGCGGTATTATTTAGCTACGTATTAATACGTAAAGGGTAGTCTCGGTTTTACTACCACAATATTAGAGCAATCTATAGCTGTTCTCTCTAATTGTCAGCAAACTATCGCTCTCTAATCCATTTATAGTCTCCGTTGGTTAGTTATGTCGTCTTGCGAACAGCTCACTAGCTCCTCAGATGTAGCGTCAATATGCCCAAGTACTACAGAATTACAAGTAGAAATGTCGAACTCGACACTCGCACTTCTCACATCGCCTGAACTTCCTTCCTCATCTCCTAGTGATACTCTAAACATTGCCACAACGGCGCTGCATCTGGAATGCTACGCATCGGAGCTTTTACTGTGGCTACAGCGCTCAAAATCAACATCTCTGGTGGATGAATCGCTCTTCTTTTTTTGAGACACGGTATCCTGAGCTTTTGGATGATTTGCCGCTTCTTTTCACGTGGCTCTCCCTCTTCCTAGTGCAGTATGAGGACTCGTCCGGGATCGACGCCATGCAGCAGCTCGATAGCTCTGGTGACATGGTGACAGTTGCAGAGCAGTTTTCGCTCAAGAGTACGCTCACGCTTCTCTATTGGAAGCACGAGGGGGAGCGGCATCAGCTCGCTGAGCAGAGAGCAGAAGCAGTAGAGACAGACGTCAGCAGCAGATCAAGGACAGCGTTTCAGGACGAGAAGGAGCTGCTGCAATGGGTACTCCAGCATAGAAAAATATCACTTACAAGACAAGACATTATTAACCACGTGCTGGAACAGTATCCAGTCTTTGCAGCATCAAAGAGCGCAGCGGCGCTCAAAGTCTGGACGTCAAGGTTTTTGAAAAAGCACATCCAGCCGCAGTCATTGTTGGTGTCGGCAACAATGACTGCGGCTGGATGTGCTTTCTCGGCAAATAATGCGACAGTGCCCGAAGTGATTCCTTATGTAAGTCAGGCTGCTGCTGAGACGGAGTCGGTGTCGGTGGAAACGTGTCAGAGGGCGTCAGATGTGGTGCAGGTCGAGCCGGTGGAGAGTCCTATACCGCTGCAGTCCCAATGTGCGATCGAAATTCAAAAGAACATGGTGGATAAAGTTATTGAAAACGGCACGATGAAGGTCCAACATACGGGCAAACGGCGTTCGTGTTCAGGACGCTACACGCTGTTCTCAAACGAGTTCAAGCTGCATGCAGTAAATATGCTGGAAGACGGTAAAAGTATTTCAGAAGTGGCAAAAGAGCTGGGACTGAAGAGTTCCAACTGCTTACATTATTGGAGAAGTATCCGTGACAAACTAGTCACGTCAGAGCGGAAACGATTTCGTTTAGCTGGAGGAGGACGACGTAGTAGTTGTACGTTTGACGATGAGCTGCTCACGTGGGTCAGCCAGCGTCATCAACGAGGACAAGGTCAGAGTTATAAAAGAATGAGGAAAGGAAGCTGTTGCTTGTATGTCACTTTTGGGCTAACTTGCTTCTGCTTTCGTGATAGGTACCGATGTCAATGCTGTTTTAGAGTACATGAGGCAGTATCGCTCTTCCTTTACAGAAGGTAAAAAGGAGCCGACACTACTCAAGTGGATTCTGCACTTTTTTGAACGCTGTTGGCGAGCTCCATTTACATCTATGGACTCACAGGATGCCGACAAAGCGTATATCTTTGTTTAACATGGTCTTCATGTAGAGTCGAACATCACTGTGTTTGCCTGGAAACGTCGAGCCTTTCTCAGTTGAGGAAGCAGGACTAGTTGATGGAATGTCATTATGATTAGAAAACGATACCAGTTGGACAATTTTTCAATCGTGAATCAGCATTCATTGACACGCGACTACCATTGTGTGCCGGTGACAGCATTGCAAGAGCAACCAACAACAACGTATACCCATGTCAAGTTAAGTCGGCTCTAGATACCTGTAGAGTACTTTCCTCAATTCGAGAACAACATTTGCATAAACTTGATACTCTATTCAATTGTCGCAATGTAGTCGAATGTCTACTTGGCAGCAGCACTAGCAACAAATTCCTTTGCCAAGTGCTTCACGTGCTCGACACGATCCTCATCACCTTGCTCCTGCTCAAATTGCAAGAATTTCTTGAACAAAAACTTCATCTTCTTAGCTGAAAATTCCATAGCCAATAGCCGCTCAAACAGCGCGCGCACAAGAACAATGTCTCCAAACTTGATTTCCTTATCCAGATACACATTCCACAGATCGATTCGCTTCGGGTAGTTGGCCAAGATGCCCTCAAAGATCGTGCGAGCCTTGTCCAGTTCAGCCTGTTCGTACAAAAGCTGCCCGTACTTAAGAATCACCGGCAAGTGCTTGTGAGCAGCAAGACTTTTCAGACTCCGCTGCAAGGTCTCCGCAGCGTCAGAGAACTGCTTCTCACCAACCAGATACTGCAACGAGCGAATCCAAGCTTGTTTACTTGTGCGAAACTTCTTTTGCATCGTAGTAAGCATCTGTTTCACGTCCTCGTGCTCCTCTGCACGAGCATACAAATCCACCAAATGAAGATACACACGCTTAGGATGGTTCACAAGCAAAGCACTTTTAAATACGCGCAAGAAGCTCGCATCATCCCCAAAATCATGCTCTAGGTTCAAGTATGCTACCCACACATTCAGTTTCTCCTTTTCGTCACGGAATGACACAGCCGACGTCGCACGAATTGCAACATCGCGAGCTAAGTCAACTTCCGTTAGAGACACGTAGAAGGCCATATACTGAATCCACAGGTAGGAACTCTGTGGCGATACAGCTAAAAGACGCTCGTAGTCACTCGCATTCTGAGGAATCTCCTCATTACTCGCAAGAGCCTTCTCCCGCAGTGCCACCCACTCATCGCTCTGCAGACGCTTCTGTTTGCCAACCTTGGACAAGCTCAGATTGTCCTTCTCGTCATCATCTTCCTCATCAGAAGACGACGCGCCGTCGTCCTTCAATTCTGTTTTGTTGCTTAGCGCGCTCGAAAATCCGTCCCAGCTAAACTCAACTGGAGCCACACGGCTCTCATCCTCGTCTTTACTTAAGAGCTTGTCGTCACCCAGGCCAGATTCCATTGCCACTGACTTCGACTTTTTGAAAAAAGCTTCCTTTTCGTCGAATTCCATTCGCTCAGCCTCCTCCTCCTCAAGGTCTTCATCCTCCTCTTCTTCTTCGTCAGATTCGTCATCAGAGCTGCTCTCTTCATCCGCAAAATATGACGGCTTTAGTCCAAATGAAACGCGACGATTTTCAACCTTCAGCACCTTCGCTTTGACATAGTCGCCCTGCGAGAAGATCTGATCCAGCGGCTGCATCACTTTCTCGTCTGCAATCTCCGAAATGTGGCACAGACCACTAATCGTGCTCTTCTCAATACGAACGAAAACGCCATATGCTTGCACCTTCGTGATCGTGCCCTTGATCGTCAAACCCTCCTTTAGATCGTTCCACTTGAGCATTGACACATCCTCGGAGACAACCGACGTCTTCAAACGGAGCTCTAGACCACGGTCCGACTTCTTCGTAACTCGCCCAGCCACCAGCTTGCCAACAGGAAATCCAGTCTGTGGGTCCTTCACAAAGTCGTCACTGAGGTCACGGAGCATCACACGCGCTGTCGTATGACGGTCTAGACGCACGAAACATCCGCTTGTTGTAGTAGTGGCTACAATCCCAGGCACCAAGTCACCTATGTTGCGTTCTACTGGCTTGGACGTCTTCGTAGCGTATTCTGACGGATTCTCCAGCGCATCTGAACGTAGAGACAAGTCAATATGGCTACTGGTGGTTGATAACACAACACAGCGCACGACCCTACCAGCTCCAAATTGAGCCAGCTCTAGCATCTTATTTTCCCATTCAGCCAAAAGCTCAGTGATGCACACACGACCAAATGAGTGAGCACCAAGCTGCACCATGATCGAAGGTGGGCGAATGGCCGATTTTTTGGTCGAGATCACACCGTTCACAATAGAGCCGGGCTTGATACCGGTCTTGTCTCGGGCTGAGCGAATCATGGACAAGTCTACTACCTTCTTATTATCGTTAACTTGGAGCACAAAGCACTTTATACGCTTGCCCACAGGAAATTCGTCCTGGAACGCACGCACCACTTTCACATCGTCCGACACCTCAATACAGCTTAAAGTGCCCGTAACATTGCTGCTAAGTTTGACAATCAAGTGGTCCATGGACTGCTCCAAAACAACACCATGAACGGAGTTGCCCTCCTTCAGTAATGCACGACCCGCGCTGCCTTCTAGCCAATCCGGGCGAGCAAATCGCTGCACGTCGTTCACCTTTTCGTCACCAGCCAAATCCTCTGTACGCAGCGACAGCTGCAGGTCATGAAATTTTGCCGGGTTTTCCTCGCTGACAGCCTTGTGTTTGTTGGCTCCCTTCACAGTGACGGCGATCACACGACCTCTAATTGTGGTATTGACAGAGTACCTGTCAAAAGGGTGCGAGTGGCCGGATACATCATCGATGTCGTCGACATCAACAATAGACACGAGCGCGCGGACTCTACCGATCTTCTTCTTGCCTGTCGCCAAGCGAATCTCCATCGAATTCTCGGAAATGCCCGCAATGATGCCGGTCAGCGTGTTGCCAAGCACGAGATCAGCCTGCGTGTACTTAGGCAACTTGGCCGATAACTTGTGTGAGACATTCTTCAATTTTGCCACTAACTTTTCTTCCTCTAGCGCCAGTAAAACCAAATCATCAAAGGGCGTCGAGTTCGAGCCACTCTTCAGCAAAGATTGCACAACACGACACTCTAGAGATGCACCTACCTCAATGCCAAGTTGGCTACTTGTCTGCGACGGACACCAAAAGTCGCACAGCTCCACTACGCCAAACTGCAGCAGATCAGAGTTGTGTGGATCAGGGAAAGATACTACTACGTAGTTCTCCGTAGAACCAACAACTAGCACAGTAGCATCTATCTTTTCCCCTGCCTTAATACGCTGCTTTTGCTTACGTGAACGCTTCAATCCATTCTTAACAAGCAGCTCGTCATCTGTGCCGTAGTACACATTCTTGCTGAAATCGTAGTCCGTCAGCAGCAGCTTAGCAGTGTCACCCTCATTCCATTCATTGGTTTCCGTTGTCACCGTAGGCACTAACACCGTTACAGTCTCGTCATCCCTTTCCAAG